AGCGAACCCAACCCGGGTTCGGTTCCCGCTAGGGGCATGTACCTCGGTTGCAGTTTGTCCCCGGCCCTGGTTGGGTCGTGTGGGTGGCAGCCACTTAGTGTGTCCCTTTTATGTCGATGTTTCTCTCTCTCTCTCTCGTTCTCTCTCTCCCTCTCACTCTATCTGAACAAAAAATGAAAAAGTGTCCTCGGATGAGGATTAAAAAAAAAAAAGACTCAATTACAAGAGAAGGGTGCACCACGAGGGCCCAGCTGGGGTGATCAGAGAGACTGTGCCACTGGATCCTACAGGTCGCCTACAACAGTAGGCCACTCTATGAAGCCTAGGAAGCATAGCAACTCTGCCTAATACATAGAAACAATCACAGTGAAGCAGCCAAAATGAAGAGACAAAGAAACATGTCCCAAATGAAAGAATAGAACAAAACTCCAGGAAAAGAACTAAACAAAATGGAGATAAGCAATCTGACAGATGCAGAGATCAGAACACAGGTTATAAGGTTGCTCAGGGAATTTGGTGAGACATCCAAGGGACTTAGTGAGACCTTCAAGGAACTTAAGGAGACCTCCAAGGAACTTAGTGAGAACATCAACAACATAAAAAAGAGCCAGTCAGAAATTAAGGATGCACTAACTGAAATAAAGAATAATTTACAGGGAATCAATAGTAGAGTAGGTAAAGCCAAAAAGCAAACTATCAATTTGGAATATAAGGAAGCAGAAAACACCCAATCAGAACAGCAAAAAGAAAAAAGAATCAAAAAAAAAATAGGATAGTGTAAGAAGCCTCTGGGACAACTAAGCGTGCCAACATTCGCATCATAGGGGTGCCTGAAGGAGAAGAGAGAGAGCAAGAAACTGAAAAACTATTTGAAACAATAATGACAGAAAACATCCCTAACTTGGTGAAGGAAACAGACATACAAGTCCAGGAAGCACAGAGAGTCCCAAACAAATTGAAACCAAAGAGGTCCACACCAAGACACATCATCATCAAAATGCCAAAGGTTAAATACAAGGAGAGAATCATAAAAGCAGTGAGAGCCCTGGCCAGTTTGTCTCAGTGGTTGAGCGTCAGCCTGTGGACCAGAGAGTCCCAGGTTCAGTTTCCACTAGGGGCACGTACCACAAAAAAAAAAAAAAAAAAAAACAAGACAAGACAAAAAAAAGCAGTGAGAGAAAAGCAGTCTGATACCTACAAAGGAGCTCCCATAAGACTGTCAGCTGATTTCTCAAAAGAAACTTTGCAGGCCAGAAGGGAGTGGCAAGAAATATTCAGAGTAATGAAAAGCAAGAACCTACAACCAAGATTACTCTATCCTGCAAAGCTGTCATTTAGAATCGATGGACATATCAAGAGTTTCCCAGATAAGAAAAAGCTGAAGGAATTTATCACCACCAAACCAGTATTATATGAAATGTTGAAGGGTCTTCTTGAAGGTGAAGAGGAACAAAATAATGAACAATAAAATGGCAATTAATACATATCTATCAACAATTGAATCTACAAACAAAATGAGCAAACAGAACAGAAACAGAATCATAGATACAGAGAACTTTTGCTTGCCAGATGGGTGGGGGCTGGGAGGATGAGTGAAAAAGATGAAGGAATTAAGATGTACAAATTGGTTGTTAGAATGATGAACCTCAAAGGGAAAGGGGAAGGGAGGGTGGGATGGGATAAACCAAAGAACTTCTATGCATGTATTCTTAACCAATGGACACCAGCAATAGTGTGGGGAAGGCTGGAGGGGGTGGGAATGGGGAGGAAGGGGTCAATGGGGAAAAAAGGGAGAAACATCTAATACATTCAACAATAAAGATGAGTTAAAAAAAAAAAAAAGAATATATCTGGTCTTCATCTCTGGTTTCTGGTATAGAGTTTCAAAAACCTCTAGAGGAGAAGGGTACAGGGGGGATAAGTAGTGATGGATGGAGATTTGACTTGGGGTGGTGAACACACAATACGGTGTACAGATGATGTGTTGTAGAATTATGCGCCTGAAACTTCTATAATTTTGTTAACCAGTGTCACTCCAATAAATTCAATTTAAAAAATCCCATAGAATTTCTTGAAAAATAGAAATTTTTCTATGCTACTGAGGTATTCATTATCTTATTAGATAGCTTCAGAATGGGAACTGGTCAGAAAGACGAAGCATATGATTAGAGTTTGGGACTTTTAGCTGCCAAACTCCTGGCAGAGGAGGAAGGCTGGAGACTGAGTTCAATCACATGGCCAATGATTAAATCAATCATGCCTACCTAATAAGATCCAAAAACACTCTGGATACCAAAGTTCAGTGGAGCTTCCTGATTGGTGAACACATTGATGTAGAGGGAGGGTGACTGTTCTGACTCCCTAGGGAGAGCATGTAAGCTCTGTGTTCCCTCCCAGAACTTGCCCTATATATATTCTTTAAAAATACAACTGTAGCCCGGCTGGTGTGGCTCAGTGGTTGAGCATTGACCCATGCACCAAGAGGTCGCCCGTATGATACCCCGTCAGGGTACATGCCCAGGTTGTGGGCTCAATCCCCAGTAGGGGGCATGCAGGAGGCGGCCAATTGATGTTCTCTCTCATCAATGTTTCTATTTCTCTCTCCCTCACTTCCTCTCTCCCTAAAATTAATAAAGAACAATTATTTTAAATAAATAAATAAAAATAAAACTGTAATAATGAAGTATGACATTTTCCTGGGTTCTATGAGTTATTGTAGTGAATTATTGAACCTGAGAGGGGCTCACAGGAACCCCTGAATTTGTAGCCTGTGTCCTGAAACCTGGAGAGTCTGATGCTTAATCTAGGTGCTCAGCATCAAAATTGTATTGAAGTATACCCATTTTGGGGGTGAGACAGAACAGGTAGCTCACAAGAATATTTCTTTTTTTCTAGCTCACATCCTCTCTTCCCCTGACTTCTGTCTGTCATAGCTGCCTCCACATACCCCCTTCTGCCTGCCCACTTCCGGAATTTGCTAGTTCTTCCTATAGAATAAACAAACCCCAGTCTCTTACTGTCCTTGTGTCTACGAAATGTTGCAGCATTGGTTTCAGATTCAAGTCTAGTGGCTTTCTTTTCCACACAGCTCTACAGAGAAAATTTGGCTTGGAAGAGGCTTAACTTTGATCTTCATATCTGGAATGTCTCCACAGGAGGTTGGCATGCGCAGCAGTGGTTGGGAAAGGGTAAACTATGATTCTGTGCATAAAAGAGGGATTTTTACCCCAGCAATTTTGTCCTCAACTATTTGAAGTTAAACATACCTCACCACCAGGATGATTTTTCCCTCCAAACAAAAAATTTTTATTTCTTCTAACCTTGGTCTTATTATGCCAAGGGAATATTTTTCCTCTCCTTGCCTGATATGGATGGAAAGTTTGTACCCAACCTCCCCCAAGCTAATATGTTCAAACCCTAATCCCCAATGTGATGGTATTTGGAGACAGGGCCTTTGGAAGGTAATTAGGTGATAAGGGTAGAGTCCTCATGATGGATTAGGGCCCTAAGAAGACACAGGAGAGAGCTTGCTTCCTCTCTGTCTGCTCTCTGCCATGTGAGAATACAATGAGAAAGTGTCTATGTGCAAACCAGGAAGCGGACTTTCATTAGACACTGGATCTATCAGCACTTTGATCTTGGACTTTCAGCCTCCAAAACTGTGAGAAATAAATATTTGCTGTTTAAGCCCCCCAGTCTATGGTATATTTGTTATCATGGCAACCTGAATAAGATACCACACAGATTGTATTTTCACCTGAAATAACTAAAAATAATAGTGTCAAGTCAAAATACAGGGGTTGGCAAAAGTAGGCTTACAGTGGTTTGTATGGAAATAATATAAATAATACAATAATTAATAAATAAATAGTAATACAAAAATAAACTCTGTTTTATGTACTCAACTGTAAACCTACTTTTACTCTAATGTTAGATTTCTGCTCATTAGTGGTGGTGATAGAAGTTTTGGTTCATTTATTCATGAAGACTTAATAGAATTAAAATTAGACCAACCCAGTTTTTAAAAATGCCAAGGCTATAGGTGATTACAAGCTCTTTTTAAAAAAAAATTAAAATAAAATTTATCTTTTTCAAAATTTTATTTACAAAATTTACTTTATTTAAGTATATATAATATGTTCCATAATATAAAATTCTAGACATAGTATATTTTAAAACAGCATAATGGAAAATATAAGTATCCATTTTCTTTTCCTATATATCTCTTGTGCATTTATTGTCTTTTGCTAGGTTTGCATTTTTCTTTATTCTCCAATATGACTCACACTTATAGTAAAAACATTCTAAATATCATAGAAAGTATAAAGCAAAAAGTATAAAGTCCCTTTCTCCATCCCCTCCTCAGACTTTCAACCACATGGATATATTTTTGCTTTTCATATTAATGTTTTCACATTACACATGATGTTCTGAAAACACTTGGTATTTTTCACTGAATACTGTTATGGAAATCTTTCATGATACTTCATTTAGAACTACTTCACTCTTTTTAATGGTTGTACTGTATTCCTTTATGTATCAATATCTATTTAGCCAGTTCCCTAATGAAGGCTATTTAAGGTGTTTCCAATATTTTATTAATAAAAAAAAGTGCTACAACAAATGTTGATAGCTTATTTAGACACATACAGTTATTATATTTACTTGCATATTCTTACATCCCTCTCCTCCTTTCAAATATCAGATATTTTACCCTGGCTGGTGTGGCTCAGTTGGTTAAGCATCATCCCGTGTACTGAAAGGTCACCAGGGTGCATATGGGAGGCAAGGGATCAACTCCATGTACAACATACACAGGACACAGATTCATTAAGGTCTGGTCTCACTACAGCTTTCCCTTTATTTTATACGTACTTGTGCACTTGTGCGTTTGAAAAACTGCTGGGTGTTAGAGTTTTCCATGGATACTTGGCTTTGATTAAACTGTTCCTAAATGTGATTTTGCTCTTATCTAATTAAGAAAATTCTTATTGATCTTCAAAAAAAAAAAAATAGATACGACTACTTTAAAGTGGTTACATTGTTTTCCAGATTAAATAAATATTTCAATGAGGGGAGTAAATATTTTGAGATTGGGAGTGTGGATAGTTCTTGTTTTGGGGAGTGTGGGTCTTCAGGTAACTGAAGCTTGTATTGGTGGTATTACAAGGAATGTGTAATGAATTTCTAGGCTATAAGTCTTAAGTTTGGACCCTGTCCTAAAAGGCAGAGGAAATTTTCTTTTCTTTCTTTCTTTTTTTTTTTTATCTTAGCAGTGCAACCCAATGACCTAGAGGAGAAGTGCAGTGAGGAATCCATGCTTGCCTTTGTTGTCAGCTTATTAGTGAATCTCAAGATACCAGGCTTCCGAAGCTTGTTGCAGAGATTTTCAAGTATCCCTTAAAAATATTAAAAAGAATTACAGATCCCCACCTGACTATAATTATCTTTATTCAATATATAGATAATGAATGGTCCCCATAGGGTGCTCTCATCTATTTCAATAACTGTGTTGTCCTTGATGAGTGTACAACCCAGAGAGATTGGAAATTATTAGTTTAAGGCACATTTCTCCTTACTTTTGTCTCAGGTGTTAGTAAAACTTAGCTAAAAAGATATGAGTGAGCTTTAAAAAATATTCCCTCCATAGAATCCCAGGTACTATTAATAACAAAGTCATCCTCTTCTTCCCTATTGTTATCAGACCCTTCCAAGAGGAGGCTTGCTATTACTGAATGTCAAAAGCAGCTTGTAGGAGGAGAAATTGTGCAAAGGGGGTGGGCGGAGAACTCTGCACAAATGTTTTTTCTTCATAACTGGAAGAGGAAGAGTGAAAGTGAACAAGGGATGAAAACAACCCAATAAATATGATGTTTATGGTTTTTTAGAGAGTGATTTATATTTTGGCAAGCTTCTTTACTATGATCCCCAAGTTTTCTTCTTAGAGAAACTGTGATGCTGATAATAGCAGTTTTTACTCAAAATATCTGAAAATATTTGGTAATACTTGCTCTAAACTGCTCTATCCACCCACATTGTATAAAGCCACCAAGAGAACTAGTCCTCTGGGTAAAGTCTTTCAAGCCGTGTTCTCCACAGCTCAGATTCTATCTGAACGCTTCCATGTAGGATCTAGCTGGCATACCCAGGAGTGTAAATCCGGGCTGACTTAAAGCTCTTCTTTTAAAGGTCTCTTCCTGTGGCACTGGCAGATGGATGTGTTATCATCTGGCTGAGAAACAAGTTCCATTCCGTCACGTATTTCGGGTTTGCTGGACTGGCGCTCAGCATATTTCTGAAATGGGTTTTTGAAGGCAACAAAAAGATTAGTTCATACTTCATTCTTCTTATTCCTTCCCAATTATGCTGTTATTTCTAGTTCCTGCATACCAAAGGTCTGATGTGGACTGGTTATTCCAGTCCTAAAGTTACATTTTAACTTCAGTTATTATAGGTACTAGTGCGATATTTTATAATCTAACAAGGAACCCTGATCCTACATGTGTATGTAGGAAGCCTCTACAAAAAGAATGTCAAGCCAGTGTCCTTGAAACAACAGCACCAATTAGCATTCATCCACCGCTTGTTAATGAATAATTAACTTGAGTTATTAATTTGACTGAATATTCAAATCAGGTGGTAAGCATCGCAAAATAAAGTTGGTGGTCTCACACAGCATTTCCTTTAGGCCTGTGAAATGTTCTTCCACTTTGGCCACTGACAAATATTCCTATAAACTTAACATTTCAGTTCATTGGTTTCAAGTACATTGAGCTGTACACTCCTGGTCCAGAGCCAAACTCAACAAAATACGGACATGAGTACATGAGCCTAATTAATATTGTAGGGAGGGAAACTCCTGCTAGCCCAGTAGAGGAAACAGAACTCATCTAAGGGAAAGGTTGCTTCTAGTGAATGGTATAATTTATCATTTAAATTTTTCTATGAAAGGTTAGTATCCACAAGCTTCTGAAGAAATTTACTTTTTTTTCTGCCCATATAAAAATAAGTTTAGGGTTCTGGTCAAGATGGCGGCGTAGGCAAATGCGGTATCGCGTCCTCCCACAACCACATCAAAGTTACAACTAAACAGAACAACCATCATTCAAAACCACCTGAAATCAAGCTGAATGGAAGTCCTACAACTACGGAATTAAAGCAGCAGCCACAATGAGACTGGTAGGAGGGCAGAGGCGGATGGGCTGGTCCCACACCCACGTGTGGCAGATAAAAATCAAGAGGACACCTCGGCTGGGAAGGTTCTCCCTGAGGACTGAGGGGTCCCCGTCCTACACCAGACAAGAAAAAGTTAAAGGAGTTCATCACCACCAAACCATTATTATATAAAATGTTGAAGGGTCTTTTTGAAGAAAAAGAAAAAATATATGAACAAACAAAATGGCAATGAATACATATCTATTGGCAATGGAATCTACAAACAAACAAAATGAACAGGCGGAATAGTAACATTCTCATAGATACAGAGAACATTTTGTTGGTTGCTATATGTGAGGAGGGTTGGGGGAATGGGTGAAAAAGGTGAAAGGATTAAGAACAAATTGGTTGCTAGACTGACAAACCTCAAAGAGAAGGGGGTTGGGGTGGAGAAAATAAACCAAAGAACTTAAATGCATAACCAATGGACATAGACAACAGTGTGGGAAAAGGCGGGAGGGGGGTGGGAGTGGGGAGGAGGGGGTCAATGGGGGAAAAATGAGGAACATGTGTAGTACATTCAACAATAAAGATAAAAAAAAGAAAAATAGCCCTGGCCGGTTTGGCTCAGCGGTTAGAGTGTCGGCCTGCGGTCCTGAGAGACCCGGGTTCGGTTCCCGCTAAGGGCATGTACCTCAGTTGCAGTTTGTCCCCGGTCCTGGTGGGTTGTGCGGGTGGTAGCCACTCGATGTGTTCCTTTCACATCGATGTTTCTCTCTCTCTGTTCCTCTCTCCCTCCCACTCTACATGAACAACAACAACAACAAAAAAATGGAAAATGTCCTCGGGTGAGGATTAAAAAAAAAAAAAAAAGAAAAGTAAATAAATAAAATAAGTTTAGGCTAAAAACTTCTTTTTCTTGGCTAGATTTTAATAAGTAAATGTACTTACTCAAAGAACCAAACCTTGGATTCCCAATAAATATTTTTTTTATCCTCACCCGAGGATATTTTTCCATTTTTTGTACAGATAGAGTGGGAGGGAGAGAGAGGAAGGGAGAGAGAGAGAGAAACATCGACGTGAAGGGACACATCGAGTGGCTGCCACCCGCACGACCAACCAGGGCCGGGGACAAACTGCAACCGAAGTACGTGCCCTTAGCGGGAACCGAACCCGGGTCTCTCCGGACCGCAGGCCGACGCTCTAACCGCTGAGCCAAACTGGCCAGGGCGAGTATTTTTCATTTTTTATATAGCAAGCTAAATATTTGCTTTCCATCCTGTACTACGATAGCAAAAGTATGAATCTTAAGTAGTAGGGAGAACAAAGAAGTGGACATTTTGAGCAGAAAGAGATGTTAATGACCTCTACTCTAACCCTCTCATTTTCCAGATGATGAATTCCATAAGGCATTTAATAAAAGATAGCACTGACAAGATAGGAGGAGTTGTCCATCTATTTTTGTAAGGCTCGAAGCATTGTTTTTGTTATCCTGAATGGGGATAAAAACATGTTGGCCACAAAGGGACTTAGCACTGCCCCTCCTTTCCATAGGCTGGTGCATTGGCTTAACCAGAGCTCCACAGGCTGACTCTCTGTAGCCCCCCTCAGAAGTGAGGCAATCAGCCCTGGCTAGTTTGGCTCAGTGGTTGGAGCGTTGGCCTGCGGACCAGAGAGTCCCAGATTCAGTTCCCGCTAGGGGCACGTACCAAAAAAAAAAAAAAAAAAAAAAGAAGTGAGGCACTCAGGCCAAGTATAACCCAGCAGAATGGTTACTCTGCACTGACCTGCAGTACTCTGTAATAATAGCAGTAAAGCCTGAGCGGCTGTAGCAAGTCCCTGGCAGTCAATTGCCCTTCTTTTGTAATTCTCTTGGCTTCTTCATCATTTTCCTGACAGATTTAAAAAGAAAAAACAGTGAATTAAAATTACTCCCCAGACCCATAGCCAAAGCTAAAGGTGAGTGTGAAACAGGACAGATGTGGGGGTTGAATGTGAGATGGAACATGATGAAGATATAACGTAAGAACAAGGCTGTGGAAATAGACAAAGTGTTCTCCTAGACATCTCTGTTACATGGAAATGATCATGCATGTTTGTACCTTATTCCACAGGCCCAATAACTGCCTCCCCTCCCCGTAAAGTGCAACAACCCACATCAGCCTCCATTGTGATATCTTGGTACTTTTCTACATACCCAGGAAGTTTAGGTCTCATCATCTGTTTCCCCATTCTAGCCTTCTCTGTTTTATATTAAAATACAAACTAGAATAGAATGAATCAGTTTTCATGTTATAACATCTCTTAAAAGCTACATTTAAATATGTATCAGAATCTCAAAGTTCTTATAAAATGTTACCAGTGAAAGACTATATTGCTGCTGTAATAAAAATTCAGCCACTAGTACCCACAGGCTGTTTCTTCAGTTCCAGGAATAGTTAGCATTCCTAATTATATTTTGGGAAAATAGCTAATATTCTACCATGCTGCCCATAGGAGAAGCCTTTGCAAGCAATTCTGACTCTTTATGAATGGTCACAAAAATTATTCTGCCTCGGCACCCAGTTATTTCCATAACCAAATATTGCTTCTTAGAAACTTAGAAACAGAATAAAGTCTTATAATGGAAGGGTCAACTTTTATAGTTTCATAATAAAACACAATAGATTTTCCTTTGAAAAAGAATTCTTATTTTATGGGATGCTTGTGATTCTTGAGATGTAGTGTACATGTGTTCATTATGAACTTGTGCCTTTTTCTAACTGGGGAAAAGAAGAACACCATATTGATGCAAATGTTTTCCTGTGCATAAAGCACTGTAACCCTCGTCTTTTCCATCTGTAACCTGCACTGGGAGTGTTTTTGCTTGTGTGTGTATATGCATGAATAGTGATTCCTTTAGAAAAATCTATATAACACTGGGCTTCAAATCTTCTAAAGATGTTGCTAAAGGGTATATACCAAATGATGCTTTATTGGTTCTTTAGATATTTCATGGAAATATAAATTTCAGAAAACATTTGTTTTGACTAAATAATGTCACATTAAATTGTGTTATGAGGGAATTCATGTAACTAATACTATTGAATTTGTTATTGCCTAAAGAAACTAAAATTCAGAAAGCATACCTTGGCCCATTTAACTTTCTCTAGTAAATCAGCAAGATTTCTTTTAATAGGAACATAATGTTTCCAAGGCTTCAGTGCCATATAAAAATGCTCATAATATGGTGAGTCCTGCTTCAGAACCAGACTGTCACCCAGCATGAGATACGGGTATCTGTAGGCAGCCACGGTCCCATCCACATTCACTTGATACTTGTACTGAAAGATTAAAGCATAAACAAAAATTGTAACTGTCATTTGCTTCCCTTCTGTTTCTCATCAACACTGTAATACTAAATATAAAAGGGTTAATTTCCACTTTCTAAATTTGTTGTTTAACAATTTTTTATATTACTTTGTAACTCACATTTTCTCTTTGTATTAAAATCATAAGCAGCTGTTAGCAGGTCAATTTTAAGAAATACAGTGTGCATTTAAAGTTAAAATCAGCCCTGGCCGGTTTGGCTCAGCGGTTAGAGCGTCGGCCTGTGGTCCAGAGAGATCCGGGTTTGGTTCCTGCTAAGGGCGCGTACCTCGGTTGCAGTTTGTCCCCGGCCCTGGTTGGTTATGCGGATGGCAGCCACTAGATGTGTCCCTTTCATGTCGATGTTTCTCTCTCTCTCTCTTCCTCTCTCTCCCTCCCACTCTATCTGAACAAAAAATGGAAAAATGTCCTCGGGTAGGGATTAAAAAATAAATAAATAAATGAATAAAATAAAGTTAAAATCAAATAATTTTAGGAAATAGGAATACTTATTTCAACTATATCATATAATGGGGAATTCAGATTTCTGTAACAAGGTAGGAAAACTAGACCCAGAGATATAGAAAGGAGTATGGTTCAGACTGACAAACCTCAGAGGAGAGGGGTGGGGGAGGGGTGAGATAAACCAAAGAACTTATATGCATGTATGCATAACCAATGGACATAGACAACAATGCTTGGCAGGGAACAGGATAGGGAGGAGGGTGTCTAGAGGGGAAAAAGGAGAAACATCTGTAACAAAAAAAATTAATGAAAAAATAAATAACTTTTTAAGAAAGCATTTAAAACAAAAAAAATAAAATTTTACTTATATGTTATTTTTTTGTTTCTTATGCCATGGAAAAGGTGGGCAGGATCTCAAAGTTCAGTTTTAGAGTTGAGGACACAGAAACCTGGAGAAGTTTAAGGACTAGGGTGATACTGGTAACACAGTGCATACTCTGTTTACATATTTGTTGGCTTAATAAACTTTTTTTAAATAAACTTAATAAACATTTCAAAATCACTTTTCATGGACATTAAACTTCATTCAATTACAATAATGTGAAGCAGGTATTAGCACCACCACTCCCTTTTTTTCTCTTCTTTTAACTAATGAGAAAAGTAGTGTTCAGAGAAATTTATAAACCTCTATTCTCTGAGTCCAAATCCCTTGTTCTTTTCATTATATCACACTGAGATGAATAGGTTATACTCAGAAATTTAGTAGTTAAATTTTCCGTGAATAATTGATACCGAGGAGTTTACTAGCCAGTCATGTTTTGTCACGTTGCTCACATCTGTCTCCTCTGACCCTCAGGACGGGCTCTGAAGGCGTAAGGCGGGCAGCACGTGTGGTCAGCAGGCAGCGGCAGCAAGCAATGAAGGGCCCACAGACAATAGCAGAGACATGACTGAACCCCAATTCCAGGTCCTATTTTACTTATATGGAGTTTATACTCTCTCCGTTTACAAAAGGCATTTGAGATCATTTTATGTAAAAGACATTTATATACCTAGTTTATTAAGAAAACAAATACGGCCCTGGCCGGTTTGGCTCAGCAGTTAGAGCATTGGCCCGTGGACTGAACAGTCCGGGTTGGGTTCCCACTAAGGGCACGTGCCTCGGTTGCAGTTCGTCCCTGGCCCCAGCTGAGGTCGTGTGGGTGGCAACCAGTCAATGTGTCTCTCTCACATTGACGTTTCTCTCTCTCTCTTCCTCCCTCTCTCCCTCCCGCTCTAACTGAAGATGAATGCAAAAATGTTCTCGGGTGAGGATAAAAAAAACACAAAGAAAGAAAACAAATACAAAAAGAGCAAAACAAAGCAATGCACCGAACTCCAGGTTAATCCTTGTACTGTATTTTGAGTATAAATATAGTTCATTTGGTAGACAAAATGAACAACAACAGGAAACCACAATGAGTTTTGTCATTCCCATGCCTGGAAAGAAAGTGTGTGTCAACTCACAAGACTGGAGAAGTTGGTCCAAGCCCAGCTATTTACAAATTTATCACTTCATACCCATCCAAGAAGACTTAAATTCATACCTTAAAGAAATCAAAGAAACCTATCAATTTAGCTTTTCCAAGTTCCTTTTCTTTCTCTTGGAAAAAGAAATACCCTGTAATTCCCGCATCTAGTAGCTGAGGATTTTCCTTGGACAGATGCACCAACTGGAGCCTCTCCTCTCTGCTGTCTCTACCTCTGAAGAAAGCTTTCTCTGTTTTGTTGATCCAGGAAGGCCCTAGAAATTCAAGACCATAAAAAAAGTGGTTATGAATTTGAAACTTTTATATGGTAAGTGTAATCATCTTTAACATTGTCATCTAAGATGTTAAAGCTCTTTTATCATCAACACCTCTACTAAAGTAAAGGTTATTTCCAAAAATTATGAGATTAGAATGCTCTAATTTCATTCATCTACTAGGGAGAGCTCACTCATATTGGAGTTTCCATTGGACAACATTAGAAAATATCCAAAATAATATTGGATCAAGTTCAAACTAAAATAAAATTCACTGACTTGGCTTACTCACCAAGGCATTAACTTCTTCCATCTTTTGTACTTCATAATACAAAATAGCTCAGCTTTTGTCCTGATACAGGGTGACCAGAACAAACTATATAACTAAGTAACACCCATACATCTTTAATCCTTAGGTTGCTCAGAATTATGAGCACATCACTTCTTTTTTTTTTTTTTTTTAATTGAATTTCTTTTTCTTTATTGATTTTAGAGAGAGAGGAAGGGAGAGGGAGAGAGACATAGAAACATCAATGAGAGAGAACATCGATTGGCCACTTCCTGCATGCCCCCCACTGAGGATTGGGCCCACAAACAGGGCATGTGCCATGACTGGGAATCGAACAGGTGACTTCTTGGTGCATAGGGCGACGCTCAATGACTGAGCTACACCAACCGGGCCTCAGCGCATCACTTCTAAATACAGGAAAGATTTTTGCTAATATGCTGTCAAATATATATATACACCCACATATATATATATTTGTATTCTCTCTTTCCTGGTAGGGGACTATTCTGGAGGAATTAATTTAAATCTATTTCTATTGTTCCAAAGAGAGGACATTTGTTAACACCTGTTAGTGTTCTAAGGAATAAATCAGATAACATAGAAATTGGAGGGGATCAAACTCATTACTATGTTAGCACACTTTTCAGAAATTCACTGTTATCAGATAAAAAGTAAGTCAGTTTTCATTTCACATTTACAAGGAGTCTCTGGTCTTGTCTGCTAAGGCAGTCCACCAAACCACAATAACAAGAAGTCAGGGTTTCTTCTACTCAGAGAGTTCAGTTTAATAAAAAGGTGTATTGTGTCATAAATTTAAGACCATCAAACAGGGGTAAAGGAATTCAGATATTATTTTTTTTAATCCTCACTTGAGGATATATATTTTTTTCCCATATATATTCAGACAGAGTAGGAGGGGGGGAGAGAGAGAGAGAGAAACATCAATGTGAGAGAGACACATCGATTGGTTGCCTCCCTCACGACACCAGCCAGGGCTGGGGACCAAACTGCAACCGAGATACGTGCCCTTGACCGGAATCGAACCCAGGACTCTTTGGTCTGCAGGCCGATTCTCTAACCGCTGAGCCAAACTGGCCAGGGCTTTTTTATTTTTAATTGAGAGAGGGAGAAGGGGAAAGAGAGAGAAATATCAGTGTGAGAGCAACATCAATCAGCTGCCTCCTGAGTGCTTCCTACTGGAGATAGAACCCACAACCCGGGAATGTGTCCTCACTGGGAATTGAACCAGGAACTTTTATTTGTATTTATGCTGAATTCACTCCTGGGCCATAAGTTTTGGGTCGTTCAATTTCTTCCAGGATCTATTTTTCTTCAGTGTAACCTCCTCTTCTGGTTTAGGAACAATCAGCTCTTTTTCTGAAGGATCATCTCAATGTGGCAGGAGAGCTTGTGTGGGGTTAATATGACCATGAGCTCTGAGTTCCACCCTGTGTCTTGGGAGCTTTGTTCATTTGGATGTGCTCAATGACTGGAGAATACACACGTAAACCCTTCAGTTCAGCATTACTCTCTGCATTTTTAAGCATGGGCAGCAAAAATTGAGCACTCTTTTGGGGCCACTGACCCTGTGTCCAGCCCCATTGTAAAGGGACATCCTTTAGATACTTGGTGGCTTTTTGAATGTGCATACCCTTGATAGTCTGGGCAGTTTTAGGAGTGTTCTTAAAGTAAACACAAGGATTTGAACCTCTTGATTTGCATAATTTTGTGAGGATTTTGGGTCAAGTGAATAGCAAACCATTTTCAGATGTAACCTCTGGCTGCTTTGGGGAAGGGGAGGGGGAATTCAGATTTTAAAGAATCAAGAGAGGCAGCAGAATAGAGAAGCCAGGAATGGACCCAAGGCAATATGCTCAATTAATATTTGACAAAGATAGCAAGAGTATACAGTGCAATAAAGACAGCCTCTTTAATAAATGGTGTTGGGAAAATTGGACAGCTACATGCAAAAAAATGACACTAGACCATCAATTTATACCATATACAAAAATAAACTCAAAATGGATAAAAGACTTAAATGTGACCCATGAATCCATAAAAATTCTAGAAGAAAATGTAGGCAACAAAATTTTGGACACCATACGCAGCAGAATTTTCACTGAGGCAACAGAAACAAAGGAAAAAATGAACACATGGGACTACATCAAACTAAAAAGCTTCTGCACAGCAAAAGAAACAACCATCAAAATGGAAAGGCAACCCACTGTATGGGAGAACATCATTGCCAATGATACATCAGATAAGGGGTTAATTTCCAAAATATATAGAGTTCTCATACAACTCAACAAAATGAAGACAAAGAACCCAATTAAAAGATGGGCAGAGGAGCTGAATAGACATCTCTCCAAACAGGACATACAAATGGCCAAGAAACATATGAAAAAATGCTCACCATCACTAATCATCAGAGAGATGCAAATTAAAACAACAATGAGGTATCACCTCACACCTGTCAGAATGGCTGCAATCAACAAATCATCAAACAACAAGTGTTGGCGAGGGTGTGGAGAAAAGGGGACTCTAGTGCTGTTGGTGGAAATGCAGACTGGTGCAGCCACTGTGGAAAACACTATGGTGTTACCTCAAAAAATTAAAAATTGACCTTCCATTTGACCCAGTGATCCCACTTCTAGGAATATACCCTAAAAATCCTGAAACACCAATCAGAAAGAATATAGGTTCATAGCAGCACTATTTACAATAGCTAAAATCTGGAAACAGCCCAAATTTCCATCAGACAAATGAATGAAAAAGCTGTGGTACATATACACAATGGAGTACTATGCAGTTGTAAGAAAGAAAGATCTCTTATCCTTTGAGATGACATGGAGGGACCTGTAAAGTATTATCCTAAGTGAAACAAGCCAAGCAGAAAAAGACAAATACCACATGATCTCACTTATTTGTAGAATATAATGAACATAATAGTCTGAGGAATAGGGTAGACCCAGAAACATGAAAGTAGGGTACAGACTGACAACCCTCAGAAGAGGGGGTGATGGGGGAAGGGAAGAGATAAACCACAAAACTTATATGCATGTATGCATAACCAATGGACATGGACAACAAAGCTCGGTATGGGGCGGGGGTGGGGGGGGGGTGGGGGGGGAGGGTGCAATGGGGTAAAAATGGAGAAACATCTGTAACAAAAATAAAATTAAAAAAAATTTTAAAAAGACAGAATAGAAAAGAAAAAAGAGGCAGAAAGAGGAAAGTGGAGAATTTCTTATAAAGTGTTGGAAGTAGTAATATTCAAGTTATCCTGCTATCATATTCTCTTACACATGAATATAATTTTATACTTTTCAAAATTCTCTCTCACTTCATCTGGCAATATATAAAGGCAATGGAGTCAGAATTAAGAGACAGTTTTACCAAATATATATGTTCAAATAGTATTTACATAAGAGACTCGGTTATGATAGGTTTAGACATTTTTAGATAAGAAGAATCCTAGAGAAACCTCTTTAGAGTTTAGGGTGCTGTATTTCCTTTTTCTTGGTTAGAAAATAAGAAAAATATGGTTATTTAAATATATACATATACTCTCCTTGACTAAACATCCCCTTCACTTTCTTTTAACTCTAAGCTTGTTCTTAGAGTATGAACTTGAATTTACCTGTATTTCCCTGAATAGAGAGGAGATCATTTGTAACACCCCTCATCGCTTCAAGTGTGGAGTGGGTGATGTCATACGTTGGAAGGATAATATCTTGTGAATCCAGAGAACCACACCATGAAATAATAGGTAAAGGACCAGGTGTTTCATTGACTTTTCGATGTTCCAAGGGCCAATCTCCAAGATTAATATAAAATTCTAAATCTGGAAGAAGGACCTAAATAAACAAATATACAAACATCAGTGGTGGGAAGACCTCAGTCTTTGGTACTAAATGTTTTAGTTCTTTGGCTTTCTTAAATATTTTTTATAAAACTGAACATTTGAAAACAGCAGTAAATAAGAGAAGAATGCCTCTCAGTCATCAATAGGGTCAGAAAATCAAGGATGAGGATGATACAGGGCCCATTCATTTAACCCAGAGTCAGCTACCTCTGTTCAGGGGTGATACTTTAAATTCTTTAGTATTATAGAGGTTGACATTATGTAGGTAGGTATGAACAAGTGGCTACCTTTCTGGAAGCTGCCTAAGTGAGAATCTACAAAGTTAGACTCAAGCCCTTGCTTTCCTTCTCTATCAAACCTCCATATCTCATCTACCTTAGATTCTGGAATCTGCTACTCCATCTCCATCTCCATGGTCGATGCCTTAGATTAGGTCTTTATAATATTTTGCCTAGATTGTTGCAATAGCTTAGTTACTAGGTTTTCTGGTGCTAGACTCACTCCTCTCTAATCTGCTTTCCACATTTCTGCCCAAATTTCTAAAACCCAAGTTAATGTTATCACCAGGTTTAGCAGAACCTTAGGCCATTAGGACAAGGTCTAAACTCTCTGGCTAGGATTCAAGGCACTACTGTGTTGCTCCAGCTTAGCTTTGAACTTCATCTTCCATCTGCTTATGTGTCAGTAAACTTGAGGCTACTCTCTGAAAATGCCATCCATTTTAATATGTAATTCTCTTCAGTTAGAATGTTCTTCTCCTACTCTTCACTTGGCACTCTTCTTTCTCATCCTAAACCCAGATCTAATGCTACCTCCTCTATGATCCACCCTCCCAGGCATTTTAACCTAGTACCTACTTTTCTCTCAAGCCTATCATGTTGTAGTATAATTATGTTTGTATGTGCCTCCCACCCTCACTGCAAAATAACAAAATCAAGCCCACTAGAGTGAGGGGCTCTAAGACCAGAAGTGAGTTTCATTTATCTTGGATTTCTTCCCAGTCACCAGGCAAAGAACCTGGAACAAAGGGAAGGGCAAGGGATGTGACTATTCACCCTATTGTTTCTCTAATATCATTTATAGGCTCATTAATAAACTTCACATCAGGACTTCTCACCATAGAGCAGGGCTTGTCAGGCTCAGCACTGTTGACATTTTGTTGGGAGTAATTCTTTGCTGTGGGGAGGTGGGGGCTGTCCTATGCTTTGTAGGATATTTGGCAGCATCTTTGGCCTCTACCCCCCAGTGGTGCCAACCAAAAATGTCTCTAGACATTGTTAAATATTCTCTGAGGGCCAAAATTAACTGGAGTTGAAAACCACATGAGTACAGGATACAGGAATAGAGTCCCCAGGTGGGCAGGTGGCAGCTCAGGAAGAAAGCACCACCTTTAAGGTCAGGTGCCCATATGCTCATATTGTGGGCTGGTGGTAGGGGGTTGGGGGAAGGAAACTGCTATTTAAAATCAGAAATGGTTGCAGCTGCACATTCAGTATGCTTGGGAAATTGTATTACTCATATCAGGAAAGTTGGCTTTTGGTTTAGAAACCACCTTCATTGTCTTTCTGGGTGAGAAATGTAAAAATAGCCCATCCACCCCTCACTCTACATAGTCAGGAAAAAAGAACAAAAGTCACTTTGAATTACTCTGCTTAAGAGTTTTGCAAATAGGGAAAGAAGGGCTGAACAGAGGAATTGGGGTTGGAGGTGGTTGACTGAAAGTCTGAGTAATACAGGGATATCTATTATTATTATTATTATTATTATTATTATTTTATATGTTTTTATTGGTATTTTTTTAGAGAGACAGGAAGGGAGAGAGAGATAGAAACATCAATATGAGAGCGAAACATTGATTGGCTGCCTCCTGCACGCCCCCCACTGGGGACTGAGCCTGAAACCTGGGCATGTGCCCTGACCAGAATCGAACCGGGACCTCTCACTCCACAGGATGATGCTCAATGCACTGAGCCACACTGGCCAGGCCAGGGATATCTATTTTTAAATGTTAATTTTTATTTATTGATTGATTGATGTTACTATGTACTGGTACAAAATAACCTTTCTCTGTTTCTCCACCCTTCAATAAAATGTGCCATACACAGTATCTTTTACAGGTGCTTAGGGTAAAACAAAGAAGATGTGTTCTAAATTCAAGTCAGTTTGAGGTGATAAGAAGTAAACAGCTGCAGAAAGTAAAATCTGAATGGAAGGAATATTCAGCAGGAATGAGAACTTCTGGAAGTGACCTTGAGGCTATAAATGTATGGGAGTTCACAGAAACTTGGGAGTGCCCTGTGCCCTACTTATCTAGGATGAAGGCTAAAGCCATTTAATGTAAATATTTAAGGAAAGGGAGATCCACAAACATGGAGAACTTATGGACACTCAAGAGGTGGACACCTTACATGCACATTTCCAAGCCTGGAATCTATTCCATCCTTTGCCATTATTCCCCTAAGCATGTAAATGTTACAAGGAAATACTTAAATTATTTAAATCCTTACCCGCGGACATTTTTTCCATTTTTTGTTCAGATAGAGTGGGAGGGAGAGAGAGAGAGAAATATCGATGTGAAAGGGACACATCGAGTGGCTGCCACCCCACGACCCAACCAGGGCCGGGGACAAACTGCAACCAAGGTACGTGCCCTTAGCGGGAACCGAACCCGGGTCTCTCTGGACCACAGGCTGATGCTTTAACCGCTGAGCCAAATCGGCCAGGGCAATTGTTTAAAAATTGTTTTCAAAATCAACAAATTCATTCTTATACCTTTCTTGCCAGTGATAGCAAAATCTCATCTGAGAACATTTTGAAGTCTGTGTATTTCCCTAAAGGTCTCCGGTAGATGTGGTTATTGAGAATCGTGTAATGAACAATGGCACCTCTCTCTTCCCCAAACCTTTTTGGAACTTCATTTAGCATCTGCTGGAGATTAATGTTGGGGAAAGATGCAAAATCTTTTGCAATCTGTAGTTCTTCGGCTGGACAAGAAAGAGTTTTCTGCCAAGCCTGAGGATCCTCTTCTGGACACTCACAGTACTCGTGGTATACCGGTCCTAGGGACGGCAAAACACATACAATGCCACACTTGATTAACCAGCACAAAGCAGGGAATTGTTTCTGCCCCTGATGTGAAGATGGGATGACTTCTTGGTGAATTCTAAGATTATCCATATCGGGAAAATCTGCCTTGAACACATCAGTGGTGAAAGTAGTTATGTCTGAGTCCTACTTCTACTTTGGGTCTCTCTTTCACACTCCCCTAGACAACCTGGTATGGCACATGCTATCTCCCAATATAACCTACTCTTAGTCAGTGATAAATTTATTTCTAATGAGTTATAAATGGCTGATGAACATTATGCAATTTACCTTATGCAAAGAATGAAGAATATTGGAACTAGCTAAATAGACAAGTTTATTATTATTATTATTATTATTATTATCATCACGCAAATCCCTTTAAATTCCTTAGTTTTCTTTCCCTTAAAGTTTCAAGTTAAATTGAGCATCAGAAGGTACATATACCATGTTCACTTTGTTACATATGACTTCAAGGTCATCATACCCCATTCTGAAAGGCATGGGGTCTACACATGAGGCTAGCTCTGGGTTATGTAATAATCACTTACCTTTCACAACATAGGGAGACTGGGCAACATGTTCATCACCATAAAGAACCTCTATCTTCAGCCCTTCACTGATAGTTTCATACATCCTATACCTCATCAAAAATGTTCCATCATTCCTGTCCAAAGGTTTGGAGACATGAATCCGGACTAACTCTTTAGGTGAAAGAGATTTAATTACTACTTTGAATTGTGTTTGACCTGAAAGAAAAATACATAGAAATAACTCTACTACTTCCAGTTGCTTTGTTATAACAATTAGTGGATAGCTGTCTGTACATAGAAGTTACTAATTTTTCTAGTATTGATGATAAAAAAAATCAGTTTAGTTTGGAAGATCCTTGAGGTCAGAAACTATTCTGGTTTATGTCTTCAAACCAAGGACTTGAGTCAACATTGATTCGTTAGTCATTCAGTGAAGATTTATTGAATGAATAAAATTAATTAATAAAAAAAAGCAAGGAAGAAATTGACTTTTTGCCTATCTGATCTTTTCTCTTTTGGGTAGGTTTAAAGCCCAGGTAGTTAGCCCGGCCAGTATGGCTCAGTGGTTGAGCGTCGACCCATGCACCAAGAGGTCACCGGTTTGATTCCTGGTTAGGGCACATGCCCAGGTTGTGGGCCCAATCCCCCAAGAAAAAAATACTTAAAAAGAAAAAATATCCAGGTAGTTAAAAATCTGTGAATCTTAGAATAAAAGAGTTCTAAGGCAATCCAACTTTCTTCTTGTACACAATCTTTGTAAACCATTGTAACATCAAATAACCCTCGTTTCTGAGGAAATTTTCCTTTTGTTAACCCAAATTTCAAGCTATATATCTAAGCCCATATCCTTAAGTAGAGAGAGATCACAGCTAGTTGCCAGACCATGCACAAATACACACACACACACTTTTGTAACTACTAAAGTTTTTTTCTTTAAGCCTGTTTCCTCCGGTTAAAATGAAACAGTTATACAAAGATGATCTAACATTTCTTATAACTCCAAAATTCTGTGGGTTTTCTGTTCTAGGGTAAATAATTCCTACTTAGAAACTTTCCCTTCTCTTTTGGCAAGATATGGCTGACTTATTTAGGCTTTGAGACAATACTGCTGTGATTGTTACTGTGGCCCAGGTGTAAATGTTGAGCTCTTTTCTTCAGAGAGGGCAGAGGGTGCACCTGCACTCAGTGCACAGCTGATACTCTTTAAAGACCAGCTGGGCCAGTGTGGCTCAGTGGATTGAGCATTGTCCCATGGACTGAGAGGTCCTGGTTTAATTCTTGGTTGGGGACATTCAATGGGGGCATTCAGGAGACAGCCAATCAATGTTTCTTTCTCACATTGATGTTTTTATCTCTCTCTCTAAAAAAAAATCAATAAAAACATATTTTGAAAAAAGAATAAAGACGAGTTAATATCCTAACCACAGTTAATAATTTTCAAAAAGTGGTGAATCCTCTGAAAATTTTATGGAGCCTAACAAACAGTAAGTTGTGACCAAAGTACTCTTTCATCTCCTATCCCTCATATTATAAAGTTAAGCATATTTAATACAGGGGTGGGAAAATAGGTTCACAGTTGTCTGCAACAAATAATACAGTAATAAATAAATAATAATACAGGAATAAACTCTGTGTTTTGCATATTCCAAACTGTAAAGCAACTTTTGCCCGCTCTTGTATATATTTTTGAAATTACTGAAAAAATTTGTATCTCCTATTTTTAGTTTCTAAATGCAGTGAGTAAAATTTCTACTTTCTTTTGATCTTCATAGTTTTATATTTTCTTATGGGTCAGGAAAAATGTTTCTCAGTCTCTTCAATTTAGTAACAGCAATGTAATATCTGACATCTTGCTATTAAATAATTAAGTACCAAACACACACATTTTTGGATATTTGAAATAAATGTGACAAAATTATGAAAGAATTTTGTTTCAAATCTTGTAAAAGAAATGACCAATACTATATGAATATAGGCTGTGGTTGTAAAAGATAAAAATATAATGTAAAATAATTAAAAATTTTGGCCAATTACCCGAAATGCTTAATGAAACACATAAGTTATTGATTTGTGTTATTTCCCACTTGGTTCCAGGAAGGCAAGTAAAGTGAAAATCAGGAAGGCAGAGCCTGGGGACTAGATAGTCATTTCCATTATTTCCTCTCAGACTAGTAACAGTACAGAAAAGTTTTCTTGTCTCCTGATCATATAGTTCTGCTCTCCATAAATTTATGATTTTAACAAACAAAACAAATGTAAGACAAGCATAGTAATGACTGTGATTTGATTTTTTGGTTGTTTTTGTAGTAATCTTTCATGCCTATGTCATTGCTGGCATGAAGTTAATGTTAGAATCAATGCAATATAATAATGATCAGGACTTAAATAGAAATAAGCAATTCTAACCTCATAAAAGAAATGAGAAGAATGCAATTGTAAATTGCTTCAGAATGAAGGAATGTGAATTCTCATTTGCCTTGGGGACTAATATAATGGAACAGAACTGAAGCTCAGCTTGAGTTTTTCTACTTCACAAAATCAAAAGCTAATTGAATGAGAATGCAGTGCCTATGTAGACAAAAGGACATTGGCAGTATCAAAGTTTTACATCATTAGAATCAGAAATTTTGAAGACTTTTGATTTGGAAAGAAATAAAAAACATTAAAAAAAAATTCACTTAGCACTTATGTGCCAGTCCATGAGCTTGAGGTTTTCACATGCATTTTCTATCTTATTTATTTCCTACAAGAATTTGTAAGGTAGGTGTTGTCACCCCCATTTTACAGATCTGGAAACCAAGGCTCCTTTGAAAAAGTTAAGTAACACCCAAGGTCTCATATATAGAAGTAGTTGAGCCAATATCTGAACACAGCTTGAATCCTCTTCTTTCAAAGCCCACCCTGAATTCACCTGGTCATACTGTGTAACATTAGCATACAGATTCTCAGTCTTCAAAGTTGGAGGAATAAGCTCTGGCACTCCTGATAAGTCATGTAAGACAATCTACAACCACCACCCCACCACCGCCATTATTTAGGAAGTTTGTTAAGGCTCCCTACACAAAAGTGTTGATCCCACATGACCAAGGGAACAGAGCCTCAAAAGGCCAACTAGTTTTGCCTTAGGCTAAATGAAATCCTCCAAAAACCTCTGGCTGCTTGCTGATGGTGCACCACAATCATAGTACTGGTGATTGGATTAAAGGGAAGAGCGCTGAACTAGGTATTCTACAGTTGGCTCTGACATATAATAGCAGCAGGGCCATGGGCAAAATATTTTAGTTCACTGAGTCTCAGTTTCTCCTGTGTAAAGTGAAAAGAATAATATCTATCCTTCCTACATCACAATACAATTTAGGATAACAAACTAAATAAAGCAAGTTTAAAAAGTAAAGTGCTACACAAGCAGGAGGTAAAACTGTTTTATGAAGATATCATTACTAATGAAGATAGGAGAGAATTTGAGTAGAAAATGAATACAGTTGACCCTTGAACAACCTGAGTTTGAACTGCAAAGGTCCACTTATATGTGAATTTTTTAAAATAAATACGCAATTGGTCCTCTAGTTCCCTGGGTTTCACATTTGTGATTCAAACAACCGTAGATTGAAAACAGTATTTTTGATCTGGTTGGGAATTCATGATGTGGAGAGCTAACTAACTGTAAGTCAAAAGTTATATGCAAATTTTTAGTTGCACTGGGGATCAGCATCCCTAATCCCCACGCTGTTCAAGGGTCAAGTTATCCTACCATCTTGACATATTCCAACTGCCCCCCCACCCCTTCTTTTTTTTCTTCTACAATATTTACTGAGAATCTCTGCCAAGCACTGTACTAGATGCTGGGAATGTAAAAATATCAATAGGTTCCACCTATATAATAGAAGTAAATATTCAATTTAAGTCAGAGGTTAGTGAAAATAAAGATAAAGATAGGTTCTATTGCTCATCCAACTTCCTAGACCTCCTAATTTTTGTCTGTGGACTCCAGTTTGAGAGTCTTCTGATTTAGACCATTCAGATTCACAAAATGTTTGCGATCTATGTACCTGGAAATATGCAACATAAGAATGTTATTCAGACACTGTTAAATGCGACAGATAATTGCAGTAATAAGAGAATCTTGATAAGTCATGTAAGACAATCTACAGCTTGAGAAAATTTTGTCTCTTTTCCAATTAGTTCTTGGAGAAGGAAAAATTTCAGAACTTACAAATGAATGATGGTGGCAGAAGATGTAAGAAACTGGTTGGGTTTGCTTTTCAGAACTATAGGACAGCTTTTGAATGGAAACTAGAAATCAAGTGGCCTGAAAAGAAACAAATAGAGTCTAAGGGAATGAAAGTGAGGTTGTCTGAAAAGACTTGGTGAAAGTTTTTTATTTTTCCTTAAAACTTTTTTTCTGACTATAAAAACACTATAATCATCTTGGATAAAATTTTTCTTGGGGAAAAAGGAGAGTGAAAAAATTTCCTTATTCTCTTGCTATAACTATTGATAACATTGCTGAGTAAATTACAGGTTAATTTACTGATTACAAATTAGAATGAAATGATATAGTTTCTTTCCTGTTTATTCCATCCTTAACCTAATATAAGCATTATTAAATAATGTTTTTTTTGTTTGTTTGTTTTTTTAATCCTCACAGAGTATACTTTTTCATTTATCTTCAGATGGAGTGGGGTGGGGGAAGAAAGGAGGGAGAAACATCAATGCGAGAGAGACACATCAATTGGTTACCTCCTGCACGACCCAGACCACGGCAGGACCAAACTGCAACTGAGGTGCGTGCCTTTCACCACAATCGAACCCTCGGGCGATGATCAAACCCTGAGCCAAACCAGCCAGGACTGGTAACTATTTTTTAAGTGTACAGTTCAGTAGTGTTAAATAGATTCACACTGTTGTGCAACAAATCTCTAGACCTTTCTCATTTTGCAAAACTGAAACTCAAGCAATTCAACAACTTCCCATTTTCCTCTTCCAACAGTCCTTTGGCAAACACATTACTTTTAATGGATGTCAAATATTCCATCACATGGATGTATAGTCCTTTATTTAGCAATTTATAGTTGGCTATGTAAACTTATTATAATACACAATTATAATGCTGCAAGAATATCTTTGTATATAAAAATCTTTGAATACATTCTGATCATTATCTCAGGATAGACAACTAGAATTAGACTACCAGATTAAAGAGCAAAGACATTTTTTTAAATGACATTTTCTAACTTTAAATTTTTTCCCCCCATTAGATTTGTAAATGGTTAAGACTTGCTATATTTGGACAATTCCTTTCCAGAAATAGTTGACCAATTTGTGTTCCACTAGAAGAGGATGAAGGTCTCTGAGAGTAACTCATTGTTCCCTTAATAGCTCTGAGTAGCACTATTTAAAAAAAAAATTGCCAATATTTTTAGAATAAAAAATGGGATTTTATTTGAATTTATAGTTCTTTTATTAATAGAAGATTGGCAGTATTTCACTTTGGATCTTATGTAGAAATTAATTTTTTTAGTTTTCCATCTTCTTTTCTTTCTAAAGTACCCCCCATTATAACATTATAAAATTAATTTTATACAATAAAGAAACTATAAAGAAGAAAATATACCCCATAGTGATAGACTTTGTTTGTTTTTTTATCCTCACCCGAGGACATTTTTCCATTTTTTGCACAGATAGAGTGGGAGGGAGAGAGAGGAAGAGAGAGGGAGAGAGAAACATCGATGTGAAAGAGACACACCGAGTGGCTGCCACCTGCACGACCAACCAGGGCCGGGGACAAACTGCAACCGAGGTACATGCCCTTAGCGGGAACCGAACCCGGGTCTCTCCAGACCGCAGGCCGACGCTCTAACCGCTGAGCCAAACCGGCCAGGGCAATAGACTTTGAATCTGGGTTTAAGAATCTTTCTTATTCTTAGAGCCATGGAAAGTCCTTCTAAAACTAAAAGAAGCAGTCAGTTTTCCACTGGTAGTGGAAGAAGAGGCACTGGGTAATTGATTGATTTTTTGTTGATAAAACGGGGTGACAGTTGGCTGAACATAAATGAAACCTAAATGGGCAAATCCTGACTGGCAACAACTTGAAACCCGCAGGACAAGTTGTAGGAAGTTGTAAAGATAAGATGTGAAAGAGAACGTGGGAGGACGACTGGGCATCGGGATTCAGGACAAGATCCACCTTCAGTAGAGGGTGCACCTCATGGATTCCACTGTGTTTCGCTAATTCCGCAATCTACTTTCAAGAACTCAAAACTATAAGAAAACAAAAATGTAGCATGCAAAACTGCCTTCTTTCTGCCTACTGCTCTGAGGTTTTCTTTGTGTAGGATTTAACTGTTTCAAACCCAGCAGGCCCGGGCAATGTAAACCCACGTGATTCCCGGGCTGATGACTCAATGCGTGAGGGCGCTCCCGGCCTGCTGGAACAACAGTTCAGACCAAGTCGGAGGTGGAGAGACCATCTCAGACGAGTGACTCACTCTGCCTTCATTAACACCTGGGGGCCCTACGTACGGTTTGGAACATTATCCCTGCCCATTAAATGAGGAAAGGGCCCTCGGAGTCGTTCGTTCGTTTGTTCGTTCGTTCGTTCGTTCATTCATTCATTCATTCATTCATTCATTCAACAGACGTTTGTTGCTACTGCCTCCCCCCTCTGTGTCAGCGAGGAGGAGGAAAGCGGATGTGACCAGAACCAAGGAAAGGCGACACACACACGTCAGAGGAGGGATGCCACGCAGGCGGCAGGCGGATTCCCGGAGGCTCGGGCGCGGTCGCGGGGTGGGGGTGGAGGAGGGTGCAGGGGGGTGCAGGGGGTGCAGGGGGGTGGAGGAGGGTGCAGGGGGGTGCAGGGGGGTGGAGGGGGGTGGGGGAGGTGGAGGAGGGGGGGGAAATGGAGGAGGGGGGAGTGGAGGGGGGGTGGAGAGGGGGGGTGTGGGTGGGGGGGAGTGGAGTAGGGGTGGAGGCGGGCGTGCCGGCGGGGATGCAGGGGAGCGGGCAACAGAGCGAGGGAGGCTCGCGGCTGAACGCTACCTGGGGGCGAGCGAGTGAGGTTTTGGCCCTCGGAGTTGACAGCCTGCAGATAGAAATAGCGGACAGGCAGAACGATGCCCGCCTGCAGCCCGGGGCCCCACACCAGGCTCCGCGGCGCGCTGACTGGCGCCTCGGGGGTCCCCGCGGCCACCAGCAGGGCGAGCTGTGGCCACAGCAACAGGGCCCGCGGGAGGCGGCGCATGGTCACCGGCGCTGCGTCGGTCCTGGCGGCAGCGGGGAGGGGCGGGGTGCGCCGCCGGCAGGGCACACCCGGGGCGGGGCTGTGTGCGGCCCACCGTCCCGCCCCTGGCTCTCTCCTGGAAGCTACACGAGGGCGCCGGGTAGTCTTTGGCCTTGCTCACTGCGGAGGGTCGGCGGTGGACTGTCCCCTCCTCACCCCAGCCTCCTTGACCCCACTGAGAACCGGGATTGTAGGTGTGGCAAAGAGAGACCAAGGGTGAGAATCGCGCCGGTGATCGCCAAGCTTTTGCGCGCCCGGCCTCAACGTTCAGTTGCTTGAATTTGTCAACTGTTTAGAGGAAATCGTTTTTAAAAGGAAGGAAACTCTGTGACTGCTGTGGGACGAAAAGATCCAGCAGCGAAGAACTTGAATATAATTTAGGGAAATGTCTTTAGACTGGGAATTTCATGGTTGTTGACAGTGTTCTTTGTACTTTGGAAAGATTTTTAGGAACTCGTAGTAAATCACCGGTAAATTGTAGAGCTGACGTGTGGCATTACATGGCATTACTTTCATTACTAAATTGTATTTTGTGGGGATTTCTGCATGTTTTCAATGGAAAGCTTTGCTCTGCTGAAGTTACCACTTAAAAAAAACCTATTTGTTACACTTTATTCACATTCTCCCAAAATCAAACTTTAAAAAATTTCCGGAGAAATAATCCAAGGGTTAACTGGTACTGGATAATAAAGTGTGGCCTAATAAATTATATAACACTTGTGGTAACACCCAGTTTTTGTTTTTGTTTTTTGGAGAACATATCAAAGAAGCCATATAATTGTATCTGAACACTCCTTTAGCAATACTGAATCTGTACCAACCTGTTTTCTTTCTCATTTAATCATTCCATATCTTAAAAAGCATATCTCTTCAGATCAACAAATGTCTGATCAGATTCTTTATCATAACTCAAATGTAATTTACTCAATAAACACTAATTCAATGTCTACTGTGTTTTAGATATTATACTTTGACTTCAAAGTTCCTGTGGTGTAGTGGATAAGAAAGACAGAGAGACTGTAAATAGTGTAATACATGCTAGGTCTGGGATTTTCTTTACTTACAAGGCTAACATGTTAGTCTTTATTGTTTCATGAATGCTGTCAAAAGACAGATTCCTGGGTCAAAGACAGAGAAATGTATTAGTCACTGCAAAAGCAGCAGCCATAGACAGAGCTTCATGTTGGTTTGTGTTGGTTCCCCATGATTATGGGCTGAATTGTATTCCTCCATAATTCATATGTTGAAGCACTAGCTCCAGTATCTCAGAATCTGACTGCATTTAAGATAGGGCTTTTTTTGTTTTTGTTTTGTTAATCCTCACTTGAAGATCTTTTTTCCATTGATTTTTAGAAACAGTGGGAGAGTGGAGGCGGCTGGGAAGAGAAACCTCTATGTGAGAGAGACATATCAATTGATTGCCTCCTGCTCACTCCCTGACCAGAGCCAGGAATCAAACCTGCAACCCAGGTTCGTGCCCTTGACTAGGAAGACAGTGAAGCCGGGAAGGTCGAAGCGTGAAGTGGTGAGGGACGACGGTATATAAATAAAGAATCCTACTTCACGGAAATTCATTTATCGCAGTAGAGTCTGGAACTGATTAACCGTGATAAACAAGGGCCTACTGTACTACGAAATTCTGAATGCAAGTTAATATTTAAACGAATTGTGTCACAATCTAAAATTCACCATAGGGACAGTAATGGAAGTTTATATCCCCAATACCTTGCAGAATGCATGACAAATTGGTTACTGAGTAATATTATGGAAATAATGAAATATTTATGCACTTTATGGGATCTAACCTTGCCTCAGCTCATATAAGATTTTTATTAATTAATGACATTAAAAACGAGACAGTTCTCTAACGTCAAAAGAGAAATTTATTAAGAAACAGAGATATCCCTGAAACCAAGGGCAGAGATGCTTCTTATAAACTGTGCCAAGCCTATATAGTGTACTATATAGAAAACTTGAGTTTTCATCTACAAGGCAAAGAATGGTAAAGTTTACATTGCTTCTGTTTAAGAGAACAGTCAGTTACAAATTGAAATCTCTTAACTCTGATTTTTAAACTCCCAAAGAAAAGATTCTGATTAGTTCAGCGTGAGACAGTTTCCAAACTATGTGCCAGTCAGCTCTGGCCATGGGTTAAGGTGATGTTTTATAAAGCCTCCTTGTCAAATGTGGCTTGTGGGATACAAAAAAGAGGAGCAGGCCCTGGCCTGTGTGGCTCACTGGTTGAGCATTGACCTATGTACCAAGAGGTCACTGGTTCAATTTCCATTTGGGGCACATGCCTAGGTTTCGGGCTCCATCCCTAGTAGGGGGCATGCAGGAGGAAACCAATGAATATTTCCCTCTCCATCTCCCTTTCTCTCTCCCTCAAATCAATAAAAACATAGATAGATAGATAGATAGATAGATAGATATTTTATATATATATATATATTTTAAATGAGGAGCAGTTACTAGAAAGGGGCAGAAATGTTATAAACTGAGTGGACAACCAATAGCTGTGAAATTTACATAGCTTTGATGTGAGGATTCCAGGGGCCAGTGCAATTCATAAAAGTATATTGAATGTAGACCTTCCAGTGTCACACACAGATCATACATAATTCTATGTGTCTGAGATTGGAACTTAATATAGAGATGAATGTGAAAGGGAATAGAAATTTCTTGAAGTGTGTCATTTACTTCAAGTTTTCTATTGCCAGAAAATACTTCTTCCCCTCTTCCAGCAACATGACTTTCATGTTTCAGCATGGACATCATCCCTTTCAGAAAGCCTCTCTGAATTCTACTGAGATTAGGTTAATTGGCCTTTGTATGACATACTTATGTTGGGAGAGGCAGTTTGGGCCCTGAATGTCCCTAAACATTTTTGTTGGGTGTGCCAAGAATGTTAAGTCCTTGACCACTCTATTCCTGCTATTTCTCTTGTGTTTGCAGCAAGCAACCTTGAAGGATGAGATAACGTCTCATGAACACAGAACAAGTGTAATTCACTTTCATCTAAAAGCAGTAGTCCCTGCCCTGGCCGGTTTGGCTCAGTGGTTAGAGCGTCGGCCTGCGGTCCGGAGAGACCCGGATTTGGTTTCCGCTAAGGGCACGTACACCTCGGTTGCGGTTTGTTCCCGGCTCTGGTTGGGTCGTGGGGGCGGCAACCACTTGATGTGTCCCTTTCACGTTGTTGTTTCTCTCTCTCTCCCTCCCATTCTGTCTGAACAAAAAACAGGAAAATGTCCTCAGGTGAGGATAAATAAATAAATAAATAAATAAAAGCAGTAGTCCCCTAAAATCCATGTGCTTCTCTTGGAATTCAGGCATCCATGACAGGCCTTTTGCATTGTCCCCACTGGATCTGGGGGTACATTAGTTTTCTAGGGCTGCCATAACAAAATACCATAAACTGGGTAGCTTAACCAATAGAAATTATTTTCTTGCAGTTGTGAAGGCTGGAAGTCCCAGATCAAGTCATCTACAAGTTTGATTTCTTCTGAGGCCTTTCTCCTTGGATTGCCTTCTCGTTGTCTTCTCACTGCATCCTCACATGGTCTTTCTTCTAAACTCTCCCGCTGTCTCTGTGTATGCCCAAATTTCCTCTTCTTATAAAGATACCAATTAGATTGGATTAGGGCTTGCCTCCAGGGCCTATTTTAACTTAATCATCTCTTTAAAGACCCTATCTTCAGCCCTGATAGGTGTAGCGCAATGGCTAGAGTGTTGGCCTGCACATTTAAGCTTATGGGTTTGATTATCGGTCAAGGGCACAAACCTGAGTTTCAGGTTTGATCCCTGCCTGTGGTCCAGGGAGTGTGTGGGAGGCAATCAATTGATATGTCTCTCTCACATTGATGTCTATTTCCTCAGCCCTACCAATGTGTTTGCGAGCAAATTATATACCCTTTAACAAAACCTTTTCTATTTGAATCATCTAGAGAGGATTATGTTATCTATGACTAAAAATCCTATCAGATCCAAAGTATTTTATTTTATTTTTATCCTCACCTGAGGACATTTTTTTTTCCCCCCGATATTTTGTTCAGATAGAGTGGGAGGGAGAGAGAGAGAGAGAAACATCAACGTGAAAGGGACACATCGAGTGGCTGCCACCCGCACGACCCAACCAGGGCCAGGAACAAACTGCAACCGAGGTATGTGCACTTAGCGGGAACCGAACCCGGGTCTCTCTGGACTGCAGGCCGAGGCTCTAACCGCTGAGCCAAACCGGCCAGGGCCAAAGTATTTTAAATTTTAATAAAAGATAGTAAAAATATTTTTAATAAAATACTGCCCATATTCAGGATGATGACATTATCTGGTCCTTGTTAGAGAAACAGTTTTGGGTTGCTTCTCTAAAAATTGATAAGAAAATCTTAAAAAAGAAAAGATAAATCTATTAATTTTGTTAGCAGGAATTAACATTGTATGTCTTACATTCCAATTGGAAAGACCTGTTTATCTTTCATCAGTGCTACTGGACAGTAGATGACCCAGCTCCATGTAGTTCCTCTTCCTCTGCAAATGTGGAGCTCTCGGAGAAATGCCACTGTGTTCATTCCTCCTTTATTAGGCCACCAAGTACAATGATCTCCATTTGTTGGTTGGCTGCTTTTGGGTACAAATAGAAGAGAGAGGCCACTGTTTTTAAAACCAGTAAGATGATTGATCTCATTCAATAGCTACCAAAAGATCTAATATTTTTGTACCCTGCCTCTTTACTGTATAATTTTCTTGAAACTTTCACATTTAAAAATCACCATTTGAGGACAGGAATAAAAACTAAGTAAAGCAGTGCATCTATTTAAATCATTTATTTTAACATTGTTTTAAATTTGCACTTTGTCTTATTTCATATCTAGAGAACAGGTTTGAGAACAAGTACATAAAAGAATTATTAGACAACATTTTAACAAAAGCGCTTAAGGCTTATTTGTTTCAGAACACAGAAGTGCCCGTTACAAAGAGCCCCTAAGTAGTAATACACCACAAATTTGCTTTGAAAAGAAAATATTTACACTGTACATTTAAATGGGATATTCTGAAGCATTATTACTATTAGTAACAATAAACACTTAGCAATAAGGCCTCTTTGACCCTCTGACATCCAATGAAGTATATTACTTTTACAGAGGTGTGGTTTTTCTAATTTGATTCCTATGTTCACCATTACCTAACTGGATTGTCTTTCATCACCTCCAATACAGGCACAAAGTTACCTCCCATACTAAGTTGCTTTTATTAGCTTATCATCAGGCAAAACCTTTTTAGTAGCAGGAGTTTTATTAACATCAACAGTGTAAGGGAATACATTTTTTAGAGGAAAGTCTCTAAAAATTAAAATAATCTTATTAGGCCATATTTTAAATGGACTTTACATGTAAAAATTTATGGTTATTGAAGTCCATTATCTAAACAAGTTGACAATTTACCAGGTACTTAGTTTTGATTCCCTCCTGGCTTATTCCTTTTATGTGAATATTTATTGTAACAATGATTATATCTTTCAGAAAACAAGTTATAAGTATAAAATTATTATAAATTACTAAAGTTATACCAAAATGAATATCAAAAAGCAGCAGTTTGTATGTTTTTTTTTGGTACATGCCCCTAGCGGGAACCAAACCCCGGGACTCTCTGGTCTGCAGGCCGATGCTCTAACCACTGAGCCAAACCGGCAAGGGCTGTATGTTAAAATACATTAAAATTTGCTATACTTCTTTAATGAAGTATTTTATAAAAGTATAAAACTATAGAAGGTGCTATTTTAATGAATTTTCTGTTTTCTTGATTGTTAAGCCAGACCAACAGCAAATATTTTAAATAGTGCATGTTGACCCTCAATTGCCTTTGAAATCATATAGTAGATTCTAGTGCAAAGAATCAGGGCCCCAAAGTCATTGTTTATCCTCACCTTAACTTACCTATGTTAAGAATATTAAGTTACAATGTTGATATAGCCTAAACTCAGTGAAAAATAAGCTAACTTCATTTCACCTTTTGTAGAATACACGTAGACTTGGGTAGTTCCTGAAATAAAACTCGAAAGCTGATCACGAAAAAAAAAAAAAAATCAAGAATCTTAATATTAAAATATTAACTGAATATCTTTTAAATTACATAGAAAATATAGGTCATGGTTTATGAAAATTTTACTTAAATAATCAGATAAATAGAAAAAAAGGAAAGGTAGAATTTACAAACATACATAACACAAAAATAACATGTTATTTATTTTTTACCATGCAAATTTAAATTAAAAAATTCAGAAGAGTTGATTTAAAACTCTATTATCAGCCTCTTTCAGATCAAGATTGACTAGAGCCTGAGTATAAAACAATCTACAGATGTAAGGATTAGCTTTCATGATAGTTACCATATCTAATTCAGTTTTGAGTTGCATGGAAACAATGTAAGCTTGTCCTGTATTTTGCTTCTAGGCAAGGCAATGATTAAGAACATAATAACAAGATAGCACTTTCTTGAATTTTATCTGTTCCAGATCTCCCTACACTTCACCAACACCTATCATTATCCTTAATTCATATGGATAAAACAGACTAGGTGAGAAAAATGGAAAATAAAATTAGGTCAGGAAGCAAATATAAACCAAACAAGGTGAAATTCACTCATGTTGACCTTCACAGTACTAAGATCCAGGATGGAATGCTTTCTGGCATTTTAGCAAATTATCTTTATTCTGATGAGGAGAGAAATCCCCAGAAGCTGTGCATGGCAACTAAAGAGCTAAATGGTGCCCTGGGCAGTTTGGCTCAGTGGTTGAGCATCGACCTGCAGACCAGAGAGTCCCGGGTTTGGTTCCCGCTAGGGGCACGTACCACACACACACACACACACACACACACAAAAGAGCTAAATGGCAAGTTATCAGGGGGTATGGGAAGTTATTCAGTCTAGATAAATTATTGAAAGAATCAGTGACAAGCCCTTAGAAGCTCTGCCTTATAACTTCCTAAAGATTTGGTAAATGATCCCGCATTCCGAGGAGTACAAGTATTGTTTGGCTTACTAGGAATTCAGCTCCCCAGCTATAATCTTAACAAGCACTTCAGAGATGTTCCTCCCTGGATACATGATGGATATAACAGGAAGTCCTTATAAAAATTCCCTTATCTTTGTTTGAAAGAAAAAACAAACAAAGAAAAACCAAACCCTAAACCTCCTAAGTTGATGAGTCCAAATGGATGATAGTATTTACTCCATTGTATCATCCCTACATTTTATTTAATGCTGTCAGTATGGTGTGTGGACCAAAGGAAGCAATACAGTTTTGTAGTCGTACCGGTTAACTAATAAGTTTTGTATGTATCTGGGATATTAGGGTTGTAAATCACAATGAAAGGTATAAAAAAATTCAAGGGAAAAGTAGAGCAGGAAGCCAAAATTGAACAGTGAATTATAGACTAAATGGGGTGTATTGGAGGAAGGCTAAGGATATATACAGAGGAAGAAAATAGCAAAGAATCCCTCAAAACAAGTTTTATTGCTCTGGAATTCAGGAAGTGTGTACACACACACACACACACACACACACTGGAGGGGAAAAAAAGAATATGGGTTGCTTTAGGGCAGGTACTGCCCAAATAGATATTTGTATCTGTCCTTCCCATGGACACACACATACTGTATTTCCATTACAAGCTTTTGGAAGAAATGTTATGAAAAAGCCTCACAGTTCTGACTCTTTGTCATTTTCATGCAAGTAATATTCATCATCTGTGGTTGTGTCTGTGTCACAATCTGAGTCTACTGGATCCTCTTCATAGATGTTAAGTGGTACATTTGGAGATAAGCCATCATCTGGTGTCTGATTGCTAGGAGAATCTGAACTCCATGACTCTGCTGGGTTAGGAGGGTGAATTACAGCATCTTTCAAGAAGCCAGGGTTCTTCAGAAAACTTGGTTTCCATAACCTTCCTTGTGTGAGTGACCTCTTTACATTCTCCAAGAAAGCCAACTGCTGTTCTTTCCCAAATATCCCATAGTCAATAGGTCTGGATATAGATGTTGCAGACTTGGGACCTGTTTCCATCATGCCGCTGTACAAAGCCCAACTTTCATTTTCATCACGGGAGGAAAGCTCAGAAAAAGATTTAAATCTTCGACTGTACTCACTATTGTTAGAGAATTCATTCCCAAGGGTCAGGCGGGTCAGGGCATTGTCAATGGAAGTGCTTTCAGAACAATGGCGCTCCCTGGCTTTTGGAGGATGACTTTTACGTAGCAGATTGCCATGCACATTAGTGCTTTTTAAACTCTTTGAACGATAGGGGTGTGGCTCAGGTATCCACTCCTGAAATGCAGCACTCCTTTGTTGTTGCTGACAACTGGCCAGTGGGATCCTTACTGCAGATTTCTCTGCAGGCTCCAATGGAAGATGAGGGTTCAGCCTCCTCTGATGGCCAGAAATATCGGCTTCCCTGAGGCTGGTGAATGTGGGTTGGGCAAGGGTTCCTGACTTTCTTTCCAAAATCTGAGCTACTGTTACATCTTTAGAATTCTCATACTTTGGTGGTGATTCTGAGATATTTTTAAACTCATTCTGATGTGGTTGTGAAATGTTAGATTTCTGATTGCTAAAGCATATAGAAGCTTCTCTGTCAGAAATTATAGTAGCCTGTAAAGAGTTTTCTGATTTCTTCACATCCATTCCATCATTATTCAACCTGCCCTCATCTGTGGATTCTGCGGACTTTGGAGCAGGCTGAGGGGACAGTGGGTTGCACTCTGGTGTGCCAAGAGATAAACCACCGAAGCCAGAGCTGATCCCACTTTGGGGGAAGATAGTAGCTACATGTCTTCTGGTACTTAAATCTTTAGCTGGAACTTTTCTGCTTGCTTTGGGCATAGCTGCCAATCGGTGTTTAACTGAAGACCTGTTTTTCCTTTTTTCTAGGTCATCCAAGCTGGTTTTATTTTCGTTGCTTCCTGTAGGAAGTGAGAGTTGATCCCGTGCCGATCTCTTCATTTCATCTTTAGCCTTGCCCTTCTTTGTCAGATTTACCTCCTGACTTCTTTGAGGTAGTTTTCTGAGTTCAGACTGCAAACTATCTAAATCTCGTTCACCTGAACAAATCTCCTCGTCAAGATGTAGTTTATGCAAAGCTGGAGTAAGAGCAAAGACTTGGCTTTCTGAGTCAGAAAGTGCTTTATCAGTCTTATTTGGGAAACCTGCTCCTTTGACTTCCCTAGGCTGCAATCCACTAGAACTGTCTTCTTTAGCTATAACTGTGATATCTTTCTGAAGCCACTTGGCACTTCCAGTAGCTGCAATAGCTATACCACTACCTGCACACTCCCCAGAACTTCTTCTGGTTTGAGGATGTTCAATATTACCTTCTAAATGGGCTGGAGGATTAGAAAGACCACTGTTAGCTAATTTAATGGAGTGCTGACGAATTTCAGATTTCTTTTTTGTGACCTTTTTTTCCTGATGCATGGATGAAGTATGCAGGGTTTCACTTTGTAGTTGTTTCCCTCTCTTTTTTCTGCTTTGTGAATTACCTAGAGGTGTTTCAGCTAATTTATCTAGAGAAATCTCTCTAGTTTTAGATTCTCCTTTATGAAGAGAAACATCTGCCTCAACAGGAGCCACTTCCTGTAGTGTAGGTGCTGAGGGCCCAATACTTGGTGATTGTAAAACAGGCTCATTTTCAGTGTTGTGAGAAAGACAACTACTATTTCCCTGCACAGAGCTGACCAGCAGTTTTAGATCTTCAGATGAAGATATTCCTGACTGCTCTTGTGGAGAATAATTGAGTTTCTCTTTTCCTAAAGCATTAGGAAATGTTTCAGTTTCCACTTGAGATTCTGTAAGTGAATCGATATTTTGAGTATACTTTTGAAGGAGGTTACAGAATTTTTTGCTGTGTTTCCTTGGTAGAGTGTAATATATTGAAACTATCTCAAGACACTTGACATTTTCTTTATCACCAGAAACAGAAAGCATACTAGTGGTCTTAAATTTATGTAATGTTTTCCCACTTTTTTCCCCTGACATATCTGAAGAAAAAGGTAAAGGAGCTTCATTTGCTGTCTCAGAGGCAGCAATTTTATCATCCTTTTCAGTGCATTCTTGAATGTGATCCTTTTGGTGGTGTCTTTTGCTTAAAGAACAATCCCTAACAGGTGAGGCACTTTCCAGAGGGTTAATGTTTTTCTCCCAAGGTCTTAGTGTTATATCAGAAGCATCCATGTCTGAGACCAAGCATTTTTCTCTTTCATCTCTTCCAAGTGAGGCATATGGTACTCCTGAAGGACATGACAGAGCCTTGATGAGGAATGGAAGTGGTCCTTCTCTAATGAAAGCAGACCCAGAGTTTGTCATATTGGTCATCTTCTCTGTGGCTTCAGGCACTACTGAAGCGGAGTCTGAAACTACTTTGGAAGATCTGCTTTCTGACTCAGAAGAACTAGAGCTGGATTTGTTTGATGTGTCCTTCCCCATTAGATCTTCCACCTTACTTTCAATTTGGGGTGAAAGTGGTTCATTCTTAAATGAAGGAGCCATTATTTTACTTTCTGACTTCCTGCTATTAATGAGAAAACTGGTTGCTTTTCCTGGTAAGGTACAATAAATTGTGTGGTGCGCAGGAGCCTTGGAATCACTTGCATTCACCTCAATGAGGCTACTGCTGCTGCTGATGGGTGCTGATGTACTTTCTGTTTTGCTCAGCTTTTCAATACAGGATATATGTTGTCTTATTTTTCCTTTTCCCTTTACAGCCCTGAAGGGAGGATATGAATGGCATTTGGCATCAGCCACTTCATTATGCACGGACACACAACTAGCATCACTGCTTTCATTTTCTGATTGGCTCAGGGTAAACTGATTTTGATGTTTGCTGTTATTGTCTTTTTTTTCTCTTTCTCCCAGAGATGGATCTTTGCCTGAAAGACTTTCTCTGGAGACCACTGTAGTAGAAGGAACCACCAGAGCACCAAGAAAAAAATTATTTAATGGTGAAGAATCCAGTACTGTATCTGATGGCAGATCTAAAGAATCACATGGGATACTGTGGCCAGCAGTTTTCTTGCTACCATTGATAGAATAAATTGTGGTACATTGTTCTTCCTTGATATCTAAAATAGCAGACTTTTCCGGAGACTGTGCATTTGGATTACCTGTAGGTTCAGAACGCCAGTGGCTATTTTCAATAGTGCTTAAAATATCTTCATTACTTACGGTAAATTCTTGGTGACAACCTTGATTTGGGTTGGGAAACGATGATGGTGTTCTGCTCTCCTGAATAAAAGGAAAGGAAATTGCTGGGGCAAGTTTTCTGTTTTCAGTGTAACTCTTATCTTCTTTTAGTTCATTGGCCTTATCTCTCTGTGATATATCAATTTTGGAGATATCTTTACTGGAAATGACCCTGGGTGACTTTTTTGAACTTATTGTGGTAGATGCATCAAAAACAAATCTGTTGGTCTTGACTGAGTCTTGGGAAAGGGGACTTTGAAAATCAGCTAAAGGGGTGGAGATCGCTGTCTCTGAAACAGATTGGGGCATTTCACTTGTAGTGTTTGTCTGGTCCATCTTGTTCAGTTTTTTGTCTTTTTCCAAAATATATTTATTCAAGTCTTGCTCATTATTCACTTCTGTGACCAAAGTATTGGGTTGGCTTTGAGGTGGAGAATCAACTGAATCATTGTCGGTCACAGTGACTTTGGTGTATCTTCTTATTGGAAGAGAGGCAGGCTTAATTTCCTGCCAAGTGACTGTGGGATTCTGAAAGCTGGGACCCTGGTGATTTTCTTTGTCATCAGCAATTTGGGAGAAGGAAGTTTTGAATGATGATGCTAGAGTATGAGCAGTTCTAAATGAGTAAGGTTCTTTTTTTACATGTACATCTATAGGAGAACTATCTTGTTGACATTCTGATCCACTAGATTTGATGTGATAGCTTGAACCAACCATGGAGAAAATATTTGGTGTGTCAAAATGAGTCATCTGGTTCCCATTACCTTGTGACACCTCCATGCTCTCCAGTGTGGATGTCTGAGGATCACACTGCCAGGGATGTGGCTCTTTTTGGTTTCTGGAAATATTTGTTCTGTATCTAGGTGAAAATGATCCCCAGTGTTGAGAAAACACACTGCGACCATGACCAGCTGATGCACTATTTGTTTCAATGGAAGTCATTTCAAAGTCTCTGTCAGAAGAAGTGAAGAGTTTCCTGTTTTGCTGAAATCCAGGCCAGAAATAATGTTCTTCCTGTTGGCCCCCAAAATAACTTTGTCTAAATCTCTGTTCCCTGCTTCGTCCAAAGGTATTGCTAAAGAAAGACCTAGCAAATGGGTTGTCCTGATGGTAGAATGGCATATTCTCTGAGTTCTCAAATGGGTCAGGACTCACTGCGCTATCCATGGGGGAATTTAAACTTACATTTTGGTAAATACTCTGTGAACGACAAAATTCATATCTCCTATTCTCTTGAAAACACCTGGGATACATATACTGGTCGGCATGGTCAATTTCCATTGGGGATGGTACCCTTAGGAACCCTTCCTGGTTTGGCCTATCTCTAGAAGAATCTGATCTATTCCATACAATGGACGATAAAGGAGTTCTCTTTGGACTCTGCTGGTGGCTTGGTGGTATAAATTCACTCTTGTGGGTTGTGGCTGGAAAATGTATACTTCTTGCTGTGAAATGCCCTGTAGCTGGTGAGGCTAATCGTTGCCTGCTGTCAAAACACAGAGAAGTACTACCAAAAGTATTCTTTTGCATATAATCTTTTTTGAAGACTCTGGGGTCCCTTGTCCTGTACATATCATAAATTGTCCTTGTTCTAGGAGAAAAGGTTCTAAAACCTTCTCTAGGGGTTCCTGGTCTTAGGATGTCATAGACAGACATATTAGAAGTTCCATTAGAGTGACTTTTGTGTCTTCCTGTGGTATTACTATGTCTGTTCCCACTGGAGTAAAAAGGACTGAACTGTGTTCTTGACCCATAGGTAAGAGGTGTTCTTGTATTCACTGAGCTTGAAGACTGTTCCAGAGCCAGAGTGTTATCCAAATCATCTAAAACTGAAAGAAGAATATGAGTGATTTTTTTGTATAAAAGTTTATAGTCTAATAATAATTTGAATTGTTGGGGTCCCTCTTTAAGAAATATAATCATTTATAATTTTATATTTATCATATTGTCATAGATGTGATATTAGTTTTGATTATATTTTTAGGATAGTTTGACTTTTACAAAGCTGTAATGGAAGTTTCTTTTTCATACTTTCTTCACAGTTAACCTTCCATAATGCCTTATAGGACATAAAGGACATAAAGCAACATTGTTTTCAAACAACAGATTTTAATCATGGTTTCTTTTAGAATATCTTTTGTGTCACTAGGTAGCTAAAATATTTCCTACTGTGATTACCTCAGAGAATTGTAATAGAAATAAGAGGCTGTAAACAACATGTGATTTCTTAGTTCTACTATTAGGAAAACAGCATTACTACCAAAAGTTTAGCACCTAATTTATAAACATTTAGATGGATTTGAGCAATATGTAAAATTTAAAGTTCTATACAATATTGTTAAATGATACACTAATGGTACATTGTTTTTCCTGGAAAAATTAAGGCCCATTAGCACTCCTTTATTTTATTTAAAAAATTTTATTAATTAATTTATTTGAGAGAGAGACATCGATTTTTGTTGTTCCACTTTTATAAGACCCATTAACACTCCTTTAATGCAGCACTTTCTATGTGTCATGCACAATTCTAAGCACTTAATTTATTAACTCATTAAAGCCTCACATAACCTTATAAGATTGGTATTATTAGTAGCCTCATTTAAAAAAAAATTTTTTTTTTTTATCCTCACCTGAGGATATTTTTTTGTTTTTTTGTTTTTGTTTGTTTGTTCAGATAGAGTGGGAGAAAGAGAGAGGAAGAGACAGAGAGAGAAACATCGATGTGAAAGGGACACATCGAGTGGTTGCCACCCACATGACCAACTAGGGCCGGGGACAAATTGCAAATGAGGTACGTGCCCTTAGCGGGAACCGAACCTGAGTCTCTCTGGACTACAGGCCGACACTCTCACCGCTGAACCAAACTGGCTAGGGCAGTAGCCTCATTTTAAAAATGAGGAAACCAAGGCACAAAGAAATGAAGTAAGTTGCTGAGGTCACACAGCTAGTAAATGGATCTGACAGTCTGTCTCCTGAGGCCCTGCACACAACCACTGTGCAAAGCCACCTCTGTGCAATAAAGGCTCACTCTTCACTTTTTTTTAAATGAGTTATAAAGATGATTTCACTATGAGTTCATAATGTCACAAGGTTGTGAAGTTGCCATTGTCAAACAGTATTTACTTTTCTCTCGGTAGCAAGGGCAGAGAATGGTGTCCACATTGGGACTCAGTGACCTCCTTCTAATACCAAGGACCTAGGCCAACACAAGGCCTAGTGCTCATGCTTACTAGGCTCATAGTCTCTGTGTGCTCAGACAAGTCACAGGATATTTTCAGTTGTTTGGGTTTCTTTGAATTGTGTTTATTTATTCACATTTGACATCTTTTCTTCAACAAAAACCTGTTAGAATTTAAGTAGAACCATATCTTCTAAGGTTTTAAGATTCCCTAAAGCCTACATTGTAGTAGATATAATTTTACCATATTCATGTTATAATGAATATAAATAGATTACATGTTTACTGAAGAAATGTTCATGAAAGAAAATCAAATCTGACATGACAAATAAATAATGGGACTATTAAAATTGCTAAGACGCTTTTGGTTTATAGAAATCTTTCATTCTGAGTTACAAAAAATGGTGCATTCTCCTCAGTTATTTAAAATTATTTGTCATTAAAATATTTGATTTTAGTCCTGCCGGTGTGGCTTAGTGGTTGAGCATCGACCCATGCACCAAGAGGTCGCCTGTTTGATTCCCATTCAGGGCACATGCCCAGGTTGTGGGCCTGATCCCCAGTGGGGGGCATGCTAGAGGCAGCCAATTGATGTTCTGTCTCATCAATGTTTCTATCTCTCTCTCCCTCTCCCTTCCTCTCTCTCTAAAAAGAAATCAATAAAGGAAAAGAGAATTTTTAAAATATCTGATTTAACTCTTCAATGATAGAGAAAGTGAGGCATATCAGTATCTGAGTGAATGTACGTGGGAGGGACTTGTAACATGTTAATTAGGGCCAGTGCTGAAGGGGTTTTTGGCATCTATTTTGGGTTATCCCTACCCTATATTACTTTTAAGTTGGTGCTATTAAGATTGCACAGCCAGCAGCAGAACTAATCTTGAGCATTAAGGATCTGTAACTAAGAAATTCTTCAGGGAATCATCCTGTCAGTGCTTTAATGAAAAAAAGAAAAAGATCTCATCTCTGAAATAACTTGTCTCACATATCCACAAATAAAATGATCAAGCAATGCCAAACTGTAAGGTAGGGGAGAAAAATCCCCCAAACAAAAAGCAAAAACTATGTAATGAGTAATAAAAATCTGCCTTTAAAATTAGTTATAATAAAATCTCTTTGATTGCTACTCTCCCTTTCAAGCTGTTCATAATTTTTCTTTCCTGAAATAAAGTCTTTTGTTGACTATAAAAGCAATATGCGGTTATAACAGAACATACAGAAAAGTATAACAAAAGAGGTAAAAAATTACCTGGAATCCTTCCCTCAGAGATAACTACTCCTAACATCCCATAGCAGGATTTTAAATTATTCAAAATTACTTAGCATCCAAAATTATCAATGCTGTTTTACTAACTACTCTAGAGGTAAGAAGAAAAAAAAAATTCTGTCCTGCTTCTCTATATTTTCACAGAGGCCAAGTCAATATTTTCATTTCATATACCATAGCTTTGCTCTAATAGCAAAACCTTTTTCTGAAACACAAATATTCCCCTCTGCTGGGAACCATCTTACTAAAATGGGTCCCCAGGTTGACTGTCCAGCTGGACGCCTCTCACTGACCACCTCACCAGTCCCAACTATAGGACCAATGTAATGTCATTGCCTTTGCAAACTGAATTTAGTTCCTCAAGGTGAAGCTAGTGAATGTTCAGAGTTCACTTTTCCAATGGCTAGGCTTATTTTGATACAAAATAACCTATGTAAAGGGGAGCTATGCTCATATAATAAGATCCATGTGCATGTGGTACTTTTGGAATCTGTTTCTTTATTGTTATTTATTGTACATGGTTAATTGTTTAAAAACAATTATATTTCATCACAGTGCATTCAGGTAGGTCCTAATCAGTAACAATAAAAGTTTATTAAGAACAGTAAACTTTATAGATATATTTCCTAAAAGTGTATTTCCCTTCCACCTGAAGTTAAATATTAAATATTATTACCATTCCATAGATTTATCAGCCCTGGTCTGAGAATATTTGCTTAGATTATATTTAAATAAAAGATTCTTTAATATTTGTGTTAATAGTGTATAACAGCTTCCTTTTTAGATAAAATAAACAAGAGGACTTCAAAAATAAAGCACAGCCCAGACTGGTGTAGCTCAGCAGTTAGAGCATTGGCCTGAGCACCAAAGGGTCTGTTTGATTCCTGGTCAAGGGCATGTACCTGGGTTGCAGGTTCAATACCCACTCCAGTCGTTTGGGGGCATGTGGGAGGCAACTAATTAATGCATCTCTCTCACATCAACGTTTCTCTCCCTCTCTCTCTCTCTCTCCTTCCCACTGCCCTTCTACTCTCTGTAAGAATCAATGGAAAATATATACTTGGGTTAGGATAAATAAATAAAGTACAGAGTTTGATATGTTTTGAGTATTTTCATACACACTGTAATTGCTTTAGTACTGGGAGTTGCAAAGGCAATTTAATGCATAGACTTACCTTGGAAAAACTCATTCTCCAGCACGGAAGCCTCCCACAAAGGCATGCCACTTCCCTCCTTCATGCCTGCTGGCTTGGGGACAAATGTACTGTCAACTGGTTGATTTTCCAGAGGTGAATTGTATCGTTTTGCCTGCTAATTTTAAAATAGAAAATGCAATATTATTTCTGGACCTTCTGTTGCCAGAATACTCACATGTTCCCACAAAAAAGTCCCAAGCTTAAAAGTACTAGTCTAAGGATTACCATCAATTTTCCTAACATTCGTTTCTCAATTTATAATGTTTTGTCATTTTCAAGTGATCACACACTTCTCCATACTACATTAATTCTTTTACTATAAGTCTTCAGGCAAGATACCGGGTCTTTCTCTGCCAAAGATTCCCACAAACATAAACAGCACTACACCCACCTTAGGGAGATTCCTCTAAAACAGGAAAGAAATTGATCTCTCTTAAGTTGGGAGTGTTGTCTCCTTGGCCCCAATGGCTAAAATTTTAGATTTCTAAACACTGTACATATTCTAACAAGAACTGGTTAGCTGAAGCTTGTAGTGGACCCTAAGATTTGTGAACGTGATGGATTTTGGGGTTGGGGGAAGTGTTTCTATCCAGAGTTCACATAGAATGGTGGAACCTACCAGACAGATCTAAGATGCTGATTAGTTCTGAAACAAAGGTGCTGAAAAGTATGACCTTATAAAATTATTTTTCAAAAATCATTTTTAGTTTTACAGGATTTAGGAGAATGATGTAGAGCTAAAGTTGTTTTCCTTACTAGCAAATGTTTATTTTGATTTCATCAAATCCATCACTGCCCTACTTTCAAGCTTCATTTGTCCTCATAACCTTGGGGGAATTATCCACTCCCACACCTTCACTTTCTTTTGCCAAAACTCCATTTGCACTTCCTCTGTCAAACTGGCTCTGTCACTCCTGACTCCACCTTAGCTAATTCTGCACCCATCCCTGAACCAGGCTACCACTTTCCACTCTAGTGTCTTTGTTTTTAGTCCACTCTGCTACCAGTTCTTGCCTCTTGAATTCCTTTGTTTCCCAAGTTTTCCCTTTACATTTGATGTTTGCCATTACATTTCATCTCACCCTGAATGCCTGAGAACAAATCTTTAATCTTTCCAAACATCCCACTTTTTCCTTTCTCCATTCAGCACAGGTCTGTCCAATTCTAAAGCTCAGGTTCCCTTAATCCCTACATTCCTCACAATCTAGTATTTTTAGTCCTGCCTGGTCCCCTTCTCAAGATCTAGGTCAGTTATTTCTTACAGAAGCCCTGCCCAAATTTCACTGACTGTGGCTTTCGGTTCTATGGGCAAGCCATAAATGAATGTACACAAAGGAGATTTATTAATAAGAAACAATACAATGATAACATGTTAGTCATTGGATATAATTTAACAAGCTAATATAAAATTCAGAAGTAAACAAATGTTAGAAGCAAAACATAACTATAATGAGATACCAACTGTAGGCAATAAAATCAAAAGCTAGTCATTTGAGAAATCCGATTAGTGACAGCTAAATTGTTTTCTTTGTAAAATGCATAATATCTTGATAGATATTATTCTTTTCTGTGCCCTTCCTTTTGTTTCTCCAAGTCTTTATTTGTGCTAATAACCATTAGTCATGCATCTTTAAGTTCATTCTTCCAAAATCTGCAGTTTTAATAGTTGGTACAGACTAAATACACCTGATTAAGTGAATAGCAAGTATCATTGTTTCTCAACCATTTTAACATCCAAATTCCAAATTTCCTCTATGTAGACCAGAGTACGTTCTTTTGGCTTCCTGGATTACAGCCCTTTGTAATGAAAATATATACTGAAATGAAAAATATAGGAACTGAGGGCTCAGGTAAAGAGATGAACCCCTTCAAGCTGGGAAGGATTATTACCATCTAGAGAACCTGAATATAACCTCCTTTGGTTCTATGTCTGCCAGATCCTCTACTTCAAGACCAACCCGCCCTGGCCGGTTTGGCTCAGCGGTTAGAGCGTCGGCCTGCGGTCCAGAGAGACCCGGGTTCGGTTCCTGCTAAGGGTGTGTACCTTGGTTGCGGTTTGTCCCTGGCCCTGGTTGGTCGTGTGGGTGGCAGCCACTCGATGTGGCCCTTTCACATCGATGTTTCTCTCTCTCTCTCTCTGTCCCTCCCACTCTACCTGAACAAAAAATGAAAAAATGTCCTCGGGTGAGGATAAAAAAAAAAAAAAGACCAACCCTACTCACTCTACATGTTGAGAACAATTGCAATACACAGAGGTCTAAATGATATGACCAAGAGAAAATATGGAGAATTTATCACACTCAACCTTAACTCTGCAAGAATTTTTTCCTCAGTGATAAAACCTAAAAAGTAACTGTTAGTCAGTGGTAGGTATCAGACATAGAGAAGATTGAACACTATGAGTGCTCTGTAGACCTCTTCTATTTAAGTTATATGTGGGATATTAGTATTATTAGCAGTAGTAACTATACATTAACTATTCTAAGCAATGTGCTTAGGGCTTCATATGAATTACTTTATTTCATTATTTTAACAACCCTGTGAGGTCGGTACTATTATTATTCCCACTTTGAGAAGACTGCACTGAGTAAAGTTGGGCTTCAAGTGGTCATTTGCTTCAGGTCACATAAGTGGAGGGAAGGATGCATTTCCAGGCTGCTGGATTACAGAGCCCATGCTGAACCACCTCTCTCAACTTTTTTATTAATTTATTGGTGTACTATATCCTAGTGGTAGGCATCTTCTTCTACTTTTTTTTTTTTTTTAATCCTCATCTGAGGACATTTTTGCATTCATCTTCAGATACAGCAGGAGGGAGAGAAAGAAACATTGATGTAAGAGAGACACATCGACTGGTTGCCACCCACACAACCCCAACCGGGGCTGGGGACAAACTGCAACCGAAGTACGTGCCCTTAGCGGGAACCAAACCTGGGCTTCTTTAGTCTGCGGACCGATGCTCTAACCGCTGAGCCAAACCGGCCAGGGTAAGTAGGCATCTTCTGAAGCCAAGCACAGGCCTTAGAGCTATTGGACAGCACCTGGAACTTCCCCATACCCAGAGTGGACGCAACGTCCTCCGGGGCCCAAAGCACACAGATCCCCCGCCAGGGCTTAATTTTGAACTCAGAATTCCCTCAAAATACTATGCCATGCCATGAGGTTGCCATAAAAAATGAAGTGTATTTCCCATTACTGGCCTGGTGGATGAGGTTCAAACACCTTTGTGCAGCAAAATTGTGCCAAAATCATTTTCAAGCTTTTGATTTAGGGCTTTCTTCCTCAACTCTCTTCAAGGGCCTGGTGCTCTGAGTGCAGCACACACAGTTCTGTGAAATGCTGCGTACTTCCTCCTAGGCCTCCATGTCTCTGCTCCTGATCTTTGCTCTTTCTCCCTTCTCCTGGAAAAAATATCAACTCACCCTTCCGAGTTTGGTTCATAGATCATGGTCTCTCTGAGCCCTGTTCCAATTCTCCCAGGAAGAATGAATTACCATAGTGTGTCTGTACACGCCTCTGGTATGATGCCTATTATGTCAATCAAAGTTGTTTACATTCTTTTCGCTTTTACTTTACACCAGACTTCTCTCTTTCCTCCTTACTATACATTTCAGTCCCCACCCTGATCTGAAAAACCAGGGATTTAAAAACAAATGAATCAGGACCCTGGAAGTGGACCAACTTCTGAAATAACTCAGAAAGCACAGTATTCTCCTTTGTGTCCTAAGCACCTAGTGTAGCATCAGCATATAAGAAATTGACTAATACTTACTGAGTTGACTTCTACCACTGCTCTTCATACAATATTGTTTCCCACGTCTAAACTCTTACGAAGTTTTTGTGTACCCATTTGGAACCAACTATCTTACACTTGATAACATTATTTATTTATGCAGTTTTCAATATACTTTCAAAATATCCTATCTCATTTGATCCTTAGAACAAATTTGTGAATTAGGTAAGGATTATCATTCCCATTTTTCAGATGAAAAACTTAGTCTTGGTTAAGTGATATGAATAGTAAATGGTAGCACTGGCTACTCACACTTTTAAAAAAATTTATTTATTTATTTTTGTTACAGATGTTTCTCCTTTTTTCCCCACTGATTCCCTCCTCCCCCTCTCTTCACACCCTATCCCCAGCTTTGTTGTCCATGTCCATTGTTCATGCATACATGCATATAAGTTCTGTGGTTTATCTCTCCCCCATGACCCACTCTTCTGGGGAGTGTCCATCTCTACCCCACTTCCACGTCTCTGGGACTACCTCATTCCTTAGACTGTTATCTCCATTACATTCCACAAATAAGTGAGATCATATGGTACTTGTCTTCCTCTGTTTGGCTTGTTTCGCTTAGGATAATACTTTCCAGGTCCCTCCATGTTGTCTCAAAGAAAAAGAGATCTTTCTTTCTTACAGCTGCATAGTACTCCATTGTGTATATGTACCACAGCCTTTTTATCCATTTGTCCGATGGACATTTGGGCTGTTTCCAGATCTTAGCTATTGTAAATAGTGCTGCTATGAACATGGGGGTACATATGTTCTTTCTGATTGGTGTTTCAGGCTTCTTAGGGTATATTCCTAGAAGTGGGATCACTGGGTCAAATGGAAGTTCAATTTTTAATTTTTTGAGGTAACACCATAGTATTTTCCATAGTGGCTGCACCAGTCTGCATTCCCACCAGCAGTGCACTAGAGTCCTCTTTTCTCCACCCCCTCACCAACACTTGTTGTTTGATGATTTGTTGATGGCGGCCATTCTGACAAGTGTGAGGTGATACCTCACTGTTGTTTTAATTTGCATCTCTCTGAGGATTAGTGACGTTGAGCATTTCTTCATATGTCTCTTGGCCATTTGTATGTCCTGTTTGGAGAGGTATCTATTTAGCTCCTCTGCCCATTTTTAAATTGGGTTCTTTGTCTTCCTTTTGTAGAGTTGTATGAGCACTCTATATCTATTGAAAATTAACCCCTTATCTGAGTAAAATTTTTTTATTGGAAAACAAATATACAACTTGGAATGGATCTGAGGCAAATTGTGCCATAAGCAGATTTTCTTTAAGTGGTTAAACAATGTTTAAAAAGCAAGTGACAATAAAAGAAAATGCTTCTGGTACAGGACCAGCAGTACAAAAAAATAGTGTATGAGTACTTGGATAACACACCCGTTTTGCATTAGTGCAACTTTTACGTACATATTGTCGACTGTCCATAGTCCATGTAGAGTTACAACTGTACACTTCAACAACAACATGCTGACAGTTCCTAAAGAAAACTACTTAAAAAAGGCTTAACCCAGATGTTCCCTCATTTGACCAACTCCATCTAAGTCTAGATGTGCAGAAGGGCTTAGATATATCCAGAGTAAGCCACATGCAACATATTACTTGATCAATTTTTCTAAAATAAGGTTTCAGGACAATGACAGTAAGATAAGGGAAGAAAACATGGAGGAATGAAGTCCTAATTACTATACATGCATATTTTTTTTTGACAGTAGGGGGAACCTTTTACAGATAAGTTACAAACAAAGAAAAGGCAAATAAACAATTTTGTACAAGAAATTTAACACATTCTGTACAATATCTTCACTTTGCTGTCATCATTTGTACAAACTTTTCATAGTTTACATGACCATCACCATCAATATCTGCTTCCCTGATCATTTCATCAACCTCTTCATCTGTTAACTTCTCTCCAAGGTTTGTCATCACATGGCGAAGCTCTGCTGCACTAATATAGCCATTGCCATCCTTATCAAACACATGGAATGCTTCTCGAATTTCTTCTTCACTGTCTGTATCTTTCATTTTTCTTACCATCATTGTCAGAAATTCCAGGAAGTCGATTGTGCCATTACCATTAGCATCCACTTCATTAATCATGTACTGTAACTCTGCTTCTGTGGGATTCTGCCCAAGAGACCTCATTACAGTTCCCAATTCCTTTGTTGTTATAGTTCCATCACCATCCTTGACAAATAGTGAAAAAGCTTCTTTGAATTCTGCAATCTGCTCTTCAGTCAGTTGGTCAGCCATGCTGCAAGTGCTACCGGTCTCTGAGACGCTACCACACAACCACTCAGCTCACTCGCTCCACTCAGACTCAACCCCTTATCTGATATAGCATTGGCAATTATGCTCTCCCATACAGTGGGTTCCCTTTCCATTTTGAGGATTGTATCTTTTGCTGTGCAGAAACTTTTTAGTTTGATGTAGTCCCATGTTGCCTTAGGTGATGTATCAGTGAAAATTCTGCTTCATATGATGTCTGAAATTTTGTTGCCTACAGTTTCTTCTAGGACTTTTATGGATTCATGAGTTACATTTAAGTCTTTTATCCATTTTGAGTTTATTCTTGTGTAGGGTGTAAGTTGATGGTCTAGTTTCTTTTTTTTTTTTTGCATGTAGCTGTCCAATTTTCCCAACACCATTTATTAAAGAGGCTGTCTTTACTCCTGTATGCTCTTCCCAACTTTGTCAAATATTAATTGAGAATATTGCCTTGGGTCCATTTCTGGGTTCTCTGTGCTGTTCCACTAGTCTATATGCATGTTCTTGTGCCAGTACCAGGCTGTTTTGATTACAGTGGCTTTGTAGTATAACCTGAAATCTGGCAATGTGATCCCTGTAACTTTGTTCTTTTTCAAGATTGCTGTGGCTATTCGGGGTCTTTTTTGGCTCCATATGAACTTTTGAAGCATTTGTTCTAGTTCTGTGAAGTATGTCGTTGGTATTTTGATGGGGATTGCATTGAATCTATAGATTGCTTTGAGTAATATAAACATTTTAATAATGTGAATTCTTCCAATCCATGAACAAGATATGTGCTTCCACTTTTTTATATCTTTCTCTATTTCTTTTTTCAATGACCTGTAGTTTTCTGAAAATAGGTCCTTTACATCTTTGGTTAAGTTTATTCCTAGGTATCATGATTTTTTTTTGCCACAATGGTCAGTGGGATTGTTTTTTCAGTTTTTCATTCTGAGTTCATTGACGTATAAGAATGCCATCGATTTCTTGACATTAATTTTGTATCCTGCTACTTTGCCAAATTCATTTACTAAGTCTAGTAAATTTTCGATGGAGTCTTTGGGGTTTTCTACGTATAGTATCATGTCATCTGCGAATAATGACAGTTTGATTTCCTCTTTTCCAATTTGGATCCTTTTTATTTTTCCTTCCTGTCTGATTGCTGTGGCTAAGACTTCCAGTACTATGTTAAATAAGAGTGGTGAAAGTGGGCATCCTTGTCTTGTTCCTGTTCTTAAGGAAAATGCTTTTAATTTTTGCCCATTGAGTATGATGTTGGCTGTAGGTCTTTCATATATGGCCTTTATTATGTAGAGATATGATCTTTCTATTCCCATTTATCAAAAATGGGTGCTTGATTTTGTTGAATGCTTTTTCCGTATCTATTAATATGATCATATGATTTTTATCTTTCATTTTGTTTCCGTGGTGTATCACATTTATTGATTTGCAAATATTGTTCCCAACGCATCCCTGGAATGAATCCCACTTGGTCATGGTGAATAATTTTTTTGATGCATTGCTGAATTTGATTTGCTAGTATTTTGTTCAGGATTTTGGCATCTATCTTCATCAGGGATATTGGCCTGTAGTTTTCTTTCTCTGTAGTGTCTTTTTCTGGTTTTGGAATTAGAATTATGCTGGTCTCATAAAATGAGTTTGGAAGTCTTCCTTCTTCTTGAATTTTTTGAAATAGTTTGAGGAGAATGGGTATTAGTTCTTTGAATGTTTGGTAAAATTCCCTGTGAAGCCGTCCAGGCCTGGGATTTTATTTTTTTTGCTGGGAGAATCTAGATTACATCTTCAATTTCTTTTGTTGTTATTGGTCTGTTCAAGTTTTCTATCTCTTCCTGGTTCAGTTTTGGGAGACTATGTGTTTCTAGAAATTTGTCCATTTCGCTTAGATTGTCGAATTTTTTAACGATCCTTTGTATTTCTGAGGTGTCAGTTATTACTTCTCCTCTTTCGTTTTTGATTTTGTGTATTTGGGTTCTCTCTGTTTCTTGGTGAGTCTAGCTAAGGGCCCATCAATCTTGTTTATCGTTTTAAAGAACCAGCGCTTTGTTTCATTGATTCTTTGAATTGTTTTTTGGTCTCCATGTCATTTATTTCTGCTCTAATCTTTACTATTTCCTTCCTTTGACTTGCTCTGGGGTTTTCGTTCTCTGTTTTTTTCTTTGCTTTCTAGTTCTGTAAGTTGTGAGGTTAGATAATCTGTTAGAAATTTTTCTTGCTTTTTGAGGTAGGCCTGTAGTGCTATAAACTTCCCTCTCAGAACTGCTTTTGCTGCATCCCATAGCTTTTGTGATGTTGTGTGTTAATTTTCATTGGTTTCCAGGAAGTTTTTACTATCTTCCTTGATCTCCATGGTAACCCATTCGTTGTTCAATAACATGCTATTTAGCCTCTATGTTTTCAAATGTCTTTGCATGTTCTTATGTCAATTGATTTCTAGTTTCATGCCATTGTGATTTGAGAAGATGCTTGATATGATTTCAATCTTCTTGAACTTGTAGAAATTTAGTTTGTGTCCTAACATGTAGTCTATCTTTGAGAATGTTCCATGTGCACTTGAGAAGAATGTGAATTCTGCAGTTTTGGGGTGTAATTCTCTGTAGATATCTATTAAATCCATTTGATCGAGCACTTTATTTAGAGTCTGTGTTTCCTTGTCAATTTTTTGTCTAGAGGATCTATACAGTGATGTCTGCGAGGTGTTGAAGTTCCCTGCTATGTTTGTATTGCTGTCGATTGCTCCTTTGAAGTCCTCCAAAAGATTTTTAATATATGTTGGTGCTCCTATATTGGGTACATATATGTTTACCAAGGTTATATCTTCCTGTTCGATAAATCCTTTCAATATTATGTAGTGGCCTTCTTTGTCTCTAGTTATGGCCTTCATTTTGAAATCTAATTTATCAGATATGAGTATTGCTACCCCAGCTCTTTTTCCCTTTCCGTTTGCTTGGAAGGTTTTTTCCCATCCCTTCACTTTCAACCTATGTGAATCTTTTGTTGTGAGGTGGGTTTCTTATACACAACATATATGTGAGTTATGCTTTCTTATCCAGTCAGCTACTCTGTGTCTTTTTATCAGAGCATTCAAGCCATTTACATTTAAGATGATAATTGATATGTACTTATTTATTGCCATTTTTGTTTAGTGTGGTTATATTTTTCTTCCTATTTCTTTTACTCATTACAGCAGTCCTTTTAGCATAGTTTATAGTGCTGATTTGGTGTTAATATATTCCCTTAGCCTTTTTTTTTTTTTTTTGTCTGGGAAGCTCTTTATTTGACCTTCTACTTTGAATGATATCCTTGCTGGATAGAGTAGTCTTGGATTCAGATCCTTGTTTTTTAACACCTTGATTACTTCATGCTACTCCCTTTTGGCCTGTAGTGTTTCAGCTGAGAGCCTTATGGGGTTTTCTTTGTAGGTAACCTGTTGCTTATCTCTTGCTGCCTTTAGGATTCTCTTTTTGTCTGTCATTTTGGGATTTTAATTACTATGTGTCTTGGTGTGGGCCTGTTTGGGTTGTGCTTACTTGGGGCTCTCTGTGCTTCTTGACCTTGAATGCCTTCTTTTTTCACTGTTCGGAAAGTTTTTTGTCACTATTTTTTCAAATACATTCTCTAACCCTTGTCCATTTTCTCCTCTTCAGGGGCTCCTATGATGTGAATGTTATTACGTTTCCAGCTGTGCCACAGTTCTCTTAAGGTGTCTTCCTGTTTTTAATTGTTTTTTTCCTTTTGGTTTTCTGATTGGTTGATTTTTTTTCTACCCTGTCTTCTAATTCACTGATCTGGTCCTCAGCTTCCTCTACTCTGCTGGTTAGTCCTTCCAATGTGTTCTTGATTTCTGCTATGTCATTCTTCATTTCCACTTGGTTGGTTCCAATGTTTCTATATCTTTACTCATGGTGCTGATGTCCTTACTAATGCTGTTGAGCTTCCTCAATATCATGGCTCTGAACTCTACCTCTGATAATTTGCTTAGGTGCATTTTATTTATCTCATCTTTGATAGAGTTCTCTTGTTCTTTCATTTGGGATTTGTTTCTTTGTTTCACCATTTGGCTATCTCAGTGGGTTTTATAGCCTGCCAAATTTTCCCTGTGGGTGTTTGTGTTCTGCTGTTTGTGGCTTCCTCTGCTGGGCTTGGATGAGCCTCGGTGGGCCCACGTTAAACACCACTGTCAAGTCTTACTTTCCTGGGTAGATTTTCAAGCTCAAGAAAGGTTTAGTTATCCTCTAGCGTTTTCCTCTAGGCTAGTAGTCTCAGTTACTCAGTGCCTTGGAATGTAGCTCTGGTGTTCTGCATAAGTGGTTTTCCAGAGGGTGGGATAGATGCTGGTTATTAATGAGCCTCAATTTGCACTTTTTTTTATCCTCACCCAACGACATTTTCCCATTTTTTGTTCAGATAGAGTAGGAGGGAGGGAGGGAGAGAGGAGAGAGAGAGAGAGAGAGAGAGAGAAAGAGAGAGAGAGAGAGAGAGAGAGAGAGAGAGAGAGAGAGAGAGAAACATTGATGTGAAAGGAATACATTGGTGGCTGCCACTGGCATGACCAACCAGGGCCAGAGACAAACTGCAACCAAGGTAAGTTTCCCTAGTGGGAACCAAACCTGGGTCTCTAGGGAATGGGAATGCAGGCCAATGCTCCAACTGCTGAGCCAAACTGTCCAGGGCCTCAATTTGCATTTCTTTGCCTCATGTGGGAAAGACTGAATCTACGGGGTGGGGTGGGGGAGGGGCGCTGCTCTTTCCCACAGCCTTGGGAAGGAGCACCTGGCCATTGTTCTTTGTAGCCGCAACTCAGCAAAAGCTCTGAGTGCCTTCCAAATCCCGGGTGTCCCCACAGAGTTTCAGCCTAGTCTGCTCTCCCTCTGTCGTAGCCCCCAGGTGAGTGGTTGTGGCTATTTTAGCACTCTGTCCTGGCTCTCTGCGCTGTGGAGCGGGCTTGGTCTTTATTCTCCAAGTGCGCTGCTCACAACTAAGACTGCTGCTGTCCTTGGGCTCCCAGCCCACCACCCTC